TGTTAACGCAAAAATTATAGCTGATTGGTTTAAAAAACTGGAAAATTTATAAAACGTATAGTAAAAACTTCTCTATCTCTATTACTGTTTATTTTAGGAAAAAAATGATTGAAGCTAAAATATTCTAAATTTAATTCTCTACAAAAAATATATCTTTAGATTTTTCGAAAAAAGTTATGCAAACGGAGATATTTGTAAAAAACGAAAAAATCCAAGATGGCGGCGGTTTTTTTCAAACTTCCCCCACTGGGACCGAATGGGACTTTTGAGGGGTTAAATAGGAGATCATTATCTACACATTTCCGTTGAGATCGGTTGGTTACTAATTTTTTCCACCTCAACCTCCAGATTGACTGGCCTATATATCTATCAAAAATAGTAGATAAAATAGTACTTTAACCGCAAGGGTAGATTACATGATACTTTAACAGCGAGGAGGTTAAACACTGTATTTCTTCTCGCACGTTTTTTAATTGCTTCAATTTTTGAAAATTTTTGTATTCTTCTTTATAAGTTATTCGGGATTTAAATGGAAGTAGTTTGGATATTGCGTTTATCGCTTCAGCCTGAATATCTGTTGGTAATTTACTTATTTTGTTTTGAGCCATTCTGGCTCCAATTCAATCAGCAATCGACACGAAAGAGAGTTAAACAATATTGACAACTGACAACTCAAAACTGACAACTAAAGAGACAGCTTTATTTATTTGTCAAATTACATAGAAACCAACGCCAACCCAGCACAATATTTTTTCTATTCTCATTTATAATATTCCTTGAAATAATAATTTTTGAATATTTTTTAAAACGTAACTCGCTATGGAAAAAAAATATTGTTTTACACACGACGATAAAATTGCATTATCGTCGTATAAAATACAATTTTATCGTCTTGTATAAAAAATAACTATAATTAGATAAATTAATGTGGAAATACAAAAATTACAACTTAAACAAAATTATAAAAAAATTAAAATTAAAGGAAGTAAAATAAAAATAAATAGTTTTATTTTTTTTATAAGGAAATACCGTAAACGTGAATCAAACATTTACTAAGTAATATTTTTTTATTTTGTTATATAACAAATAATATAATTTAGAAAATAAAATCATTACAGTTTATTACATAGTGAAAATAATTCAGCGATTTAAAATCTTTTTAAAAGTGCGCCTTCACCATTTTGTCATCTAAAGATATTTTTGCCTTTGAGCTAAATAAACTAGCTAAATAGCTATTTGATGATAATAGTTGTGATAATGATAGTAGATATTCTTTTTGCCGTAAAATTAGAATTTGATATAAATAATAAACAGAACGACAATAATGTACAGCTAACCATTTATATTGTTTTGATTAAAAGTTTCAAGTAATCCATTTTAAAAGTCTTCTAATTACTGTTTCTTGTTGTTCTTAATAATTTAAATTTTAAAAATTCAATTATTAATTATAAAAGATTTATTTACTAATTCTTATTTTTGTATACAAGGCAACGAAAAAGTGCTTATTGAAAATATAACTACTTAACATGTAACGGCCATACCACGTTGGCGCACCAGTTCCCGTTCGATCACTGAAGTTAAGCAACGTCGGGCGCGGTTAGTACTTGGATGGGTGACCGCTTGGGAACCCCGCGTGCCGTTACTTTTTTTATATTTTCCTCTTTTTTGGATAAATTTATTAATTTTAATTGATTTTTATTACAGCATCTATCTAATTGTTTATCCTATTTTCTAAAAAAAATATTTTTATTCTATTTATTGAAGTACTACTTTTGTTATTTTTTATTTTCTTCTTTTTAGAATATATTTAGTTATTAATTTATTTAGTTTTATTAAAACCTTCTAAAAACATAACTAACTTGCCCCCGACAAGTCGGGTACAGCCGTGCTAACCTTTTCTCGATGGTATTAGCGGCACTTTTCACCACGCTGTAACTTCGTTGTGGATAAACCAAGAATATTTTTCATTTTTCACTACACATGAAGACATACTATAGCTGGCTAGATTACCAAAATATCTAGTAATTATACCTCATAGTTTATGAATTAGAGCTTGTCAAATTTCTTTAATTTCGACTTTTACTCACTGACACATCATCAAAATTCTAAGTTACTTCTAGAAGAGTTACAACATTGTAACTCTTCTAGGGGGTCTTCTTTGATAAGGGGTGCGGTTCCTCGGTCTTGCCGGAACCCACTTGGGGAATCTGTTTTTAAGTTCAATCTTTCATCTTCATTGATTTTTGTATATTTTAGCTACTAAGTTTTTTATTTGAACTGTCTTTATCACAACTGTCTCACCTCATCCTGCAAGCAGGCCCGAAGCAAATTAGTTGCTGAGATCCCCCCTCCCCCCAACCCCGTCTTGTTAGAAAATATTCCACTTATAACACATATGCGCGAGCGAGGTAAAACTGGTATATTATTTTATTATTTCTTTAATTCATTAAAAAAAATATTTTTAAAATTTAAATAAAAGATTTTTAAACAAATAAATTTTTAAAATTATATATCCGACTTTTAGCATTCAAATAATATGTGGCACTTATAGTAAATTTTTCCCTCAAAATTTAATTCGAATCGCTAAAAGCACTTGGAAGAAAATTATATATATATATATATATATATATATATATATATATATATATATATATATATATATATATATATATATATATATATATATAATCGGTTTAAAACGTTCTACGTCTTCCGATGCCATCTCTCCATGCCTGTCTGTCTCTCCATGCACCGTCTCCGAGAATCTTTCCTCCATAAACGTGTCAATCCTTCCTGCCAACTTCTTCTCTGTCTACCCGGTTTTCTTCTTCCTGCAGGTTTCCAGTTTATAATTTGCTTTGGGATTCTTATTTCTGCCATTCTTTGGACATGCCCGTACCATATGAGTTGACTGTTCTTTATGTCGTCCACTATCGTATGTTTAACTTCGTTCATTAGTTATTCGCTCGAGTCTTGATTTGCCTGCTGATCTTCTCCAAAAATCCATCTCTGTAGCTTCCAGCATTCGTTTTGTTGTTTCCTTAATTGGCCAGACTTCACAGCTGTACGTGGTTATACTCTTTATGATGGTATTGTATATTAGAGTTTTGTTCTTGTTGTTTATGCTTCTGTCCCCCAGTATCCCATTCAATACCGTGATAGCATTCCTTCCAAGTTGGTTTCGTTCTTTAATTGCTGTATCCAACAGTCCATCATTTGTGATTTGCATACCCAAATATTTGTATTTTGTGCAGCACTTAATTTTCTTCCCTTCTTCTAGTATTAGATCTTGTTGTTCTCCTCCGATACACATATATTCTGTTTTGTTAGTATTGATCTCGAGTCCCCATTTCTGATATTTTTCTATAAGCTTACGTGTCATATAATTTATGTCATCGTAATCTTGTGCTATGATCACCTGATCGTCCGCGAAGCAAAGTGTGTAGAGCATGTTATCCCCAATGGGTACTCCCATATTTCTACATTTTTGCTTCCAACCTTTGAGAACTTGTTCGAGATATATCTTGAACAGTGTTAAATACAGCACCCTTGTTTCAGACCTTTGGTTCCATTAAATCCTGTTGTTAACTTTTTGCCGACTTTTATTCTAGTTTTTGTTTGTTTATATAATGATTCCACTGCTTTTATTAGCTCTACATTTATATTGGGTTTTTCCATAGCTTCCCAAAGTCTCACAAGGGGAATGCTGTCGTATGCCTTCTGCAGGTCCACGAACACAAGATGTAGCTCTTGGTTTATATTGTTTACTTATTACTTGAGTGACTGTAAATAAGTGGTCCACCGTCGATCTTCCGGCTCTAAATCCTGCTTGTTCTTCGGCTTCTATTTCTGGGTATTCGTTTTCGATCCTATTTCTCAAAATTTTTCCATATATTCTACTCACGGTGGCTGTTACTGATATTCCCCTGTAGTTTTCGCACTTAAGCACTTAAGCAAATTATAATAAATCGAAAAAATATGAATATTTGAACCCCCTGTAGCTATGAAACAAACCAGAATAGGATCTATGGTGATATGAAAAATATATACATACATACTGCCATTACTCGCTGACGAGTATTCGACACACATCAGAAGATGGTCACGCGAGGCGTTTTCTTTCATGAGCTTTTCGGTGACTGAAAAGCCCGATACGTGATGTTATCTGCCTACCGCACTCCGGACATTCAAGAGTTTACAATTCTTCTCCATTGAGTTCTATTATGAGCTGTTTCTTCCCACTCATTCTGCATATTAATCCCCTTTTTAATTTTTCGTGGAAAATGTCCTTGTACCTTTTGAGTTATCCACCCGGCCTCCTCTTACCGTCTACAAGCTCACCGTTTAAGCAGAGATTTTGGTATGCGGTTTTCTTGCATTCTGCATACGTGACAAGCTCATATTAAGCGGGATTTTGTAACCATGACTTCAATACTTTCGCAGTTAGCTTTTTCAAAGACCGACACGCTTGAGACGAGATGAAACCATCGGATTCTTAAGAGTTGTCTAAGGTGTCTCTGTTGCAACTTGTTTAATGCGTTCATGTGTCGGCCGTACGGCCACCCAGGTTTCGCTCCCATATAACATGGTGGGGATTATAATTGCTCGGTACACCGCAAGTTCTGTTTTTGTACTCAAGTCATGGTTGTAGAAAACCCTGTCTTTTAATTTCCAGAATACTCTTGAGGCGCTGATAATCCTGTGCTGAATTTCAGAGTCAATATTGGCCTTTTCCGAAATCAAACTGCCGAGGTAATTGAATTCCGCCACGTAATCCAATAGTTCTTCTCCTATTTTTATAGCATTGTTGTGATCTTCCGGGGGAGTGCACATGATTTTAGTTTTGTCGATGTTTAGCTTAAGGCCCAAAGCCTCGTATGCCCAGGTATATGTGTTCAACATTTCTTGTAATTGTCGTATTGTGTTTGCAACTAGAGCGCAGTCATCAGCGTTTTATGTAATGTATTGAAGGATAAAAAATAAATAAAACCTATTTTTTATTAAATTAATTTTTCCCTTATATGATATATTTTTAATTTGAGTATTTACATTTCATAGAAATAATTACTAATATACAATGTAATACTATTATTATAAACTAACATCACAATTCGTTTAATGTAATAATTGTACAAATATAAAAATCACTTCTTTAAAAACCATGATTGTCTGTTTTTTGGTCCTTTCTTGGTTGGACTCTACAAACAGAGCGGATATTTTGGGTATTAAATTTAAGTCATATTCATTGCAGAGCCTGCATGTCAGTATTTGGTAACAGTAGACTCAGCAAAGCTGCAGCTGAAAGAGAAAACAAATTTAAACATTTAAAAAAAAAATATGTGTACTACTATCTACTATCTACTAATACAAACTTCTTATTAAAATAAATTGAGTTATACAGGCTGAGTCTTAAATAAGTGTAAATATTTTTGGGGCAGTATTTGGTGGTAAACCTTTCGAACATGTAGAGCATTAGAAACTAGATTGTAGGAGTTGATTTATTTATAATAACTACGATTAATATTATGCATATTATTAGATCACACACTGAGATTTCAAATTCACAATAAAAAAAGTTAAAACCAATATCTTTGAATTGCTGACCTGGATATTATTTATTTGAATTTTTCAATTGGCTCAATTTTCCTTATTCAATGTAAATTAGCGCTAATCAATATTGTTGAGATGAATATAATCAGATTAAATAATTTAAAAAAAAATCTAGAGTCGGACTTGAAATTATTTTAAATAATGATTAAATGGTTTTGTTGTTGTTACTCAAAACAACAAGGTATCCAAAACAAAAAAACATTATAAAGTGTGGCATATCTTTGTACTCATGAGTCGGAGTTATTTCAAAACCTAAAATAAAAAATGCAGGTCTGTATTTAAAAAATTAAGTTGACCTCTGTATCTCACAAATTATCAGCTAATTGAAAATCTAAAAATACTGTCAGATAGCCCTACTAAAATAGCTATGAGAATGTGCAATTAGCTTTTTAATTTTCTAAAAAGTAAGGACTGGAAAAAATAAAATTGATTTATTGTAGTTATGAACTAAAGTTATGTTTTCTCAAATAGAACACGCTGTATATTCGTAAATTTTAAGATCACAAAATATTTTACTTTTAAACTATTACCACTAAATCGTTAAATATAATTTATTTTTTTCCTAAAATTCTCTTTCAACCTTTCTTTCAACCAAAATGAGATACCTTGTATATATTAGGATGGAGTTGAATGGTTCAAAATAAAAAAATAAAGAATTTAAGGGGATCAGAAGGCGCTAGATAATATTTAATACCCTAAACAAAACTGTCATGTAAGGGATGGACCTCAAATATGGCCGACTTAAATTCCGGTTTATCAGTGTCGTTCTAATTTTATTTATAAAATGTAAAACTATGATGTAGGGTAGACGTGGGGTAGACTCAATAATTTGTTGTTTTATTTTACGTTGTGAATAAATGTTGGTAGTTATTAAAATTGTTATAAAAATATATAATTCTAATAAAAATAGATAAGTTATAATAAGTATTTATTAACACAAACATCCGATACGCTACTGAAGCAGGTAAGTCAAATTAACGTATCTAAATTCTTTGACATCTAATCTTTGACAAGTAATAAATAAAAGCTAAAATGCAAGAAAAAATATATAATTTAGTTAATTTAAGTGAATTTCATAAATGATCGGTTTACTACACGTATGTATATTATATAGTCACTTACTAGCGAAAAGTTGTTCCATTATTTCACTCAATTTTTGCCGAGATCTACCGCACGCTACACAACCAACTATTTTAGAGTCTTTTTGATCAATCGCGATAGTGTCACTGTTAATTTAAGTTCTACCATAATTTCCATCTAGATTTCCTACCTTTATACAACTATCAGTAGTAGAATAAATAATAAATAACATAAAATAAGCTCCGTAAAGACTGACAAATCCACAAAATTTCAAATCAAATTCAATTGTGTCAAATGAATCGTCAAACCTTTGAATAAGAAGACTAAGGAAGGAGCATATCAAAAATCTTAGGTACACCGCGATGGGCCTCAAATATGGCCGACTTAAATTCCGGTTTATCAGTGTCGTTCTAATTTTATTTAAAAAATGTAAAACTATGATGTAGGGTAGAAGTGGGGTAGACTCAATAATTTGTTGTTTTATTTTACGTTGTGTATAAATGTTGGTAGTTATTAAAATTGTTATAAAAATATATAATTCTAATAAAAATAGATAAGTTATAATAAGTATTTATTAACACAAACATCCGATACGCTACTGAAGCAGGTAAGTCAAATTAACGTATCTAAATTCTTTGACATCCAATCTTTGACAAGTAATAAATAAAAGCTAAAATGCAAGAAAAATATATAATTTAGTTAATTTAAGTGAATTTCATAAATGATCGGTTTACTGTATACTATGTATATTATATGTGCTGCCACAATTTCCACACGTATGTATATTATATAGTCACTTACTAGCGAAAAGTTGTTCCATTATTTTACTCAATTTTTGCCGAGATCTACCGCACGCTACACAACCAACTATTTTAGAGTATTTTTTGATCAATCGCGATAGTGTCACTGTTAATTTAAGTTCTACCACAATTTCCATCTAGATTTCCTACCTTTATACAACTATCAGTAGTAGAATAAATAATAAATAACATAAAATAAGCTCCGTAAAGACTGACAAATCCACAAAATTTCAAATCAAATTCAATTGTGTCAAATGAATCGTCAAACCTTTGAATAAGAAGACTAAGGAAGGAGCATATCAAAAATCTTAGGTACACCGCGATGGGCCTCAAATATGGCCGACTTAAATTCCGGTTTATCAGTGTCGTTCTAATTTTATTTAAAAAATGTAAAACTATGATAGTAGGGTAGACGTGGGGTAGACTCAATAATTTGTTGTTTTATTTTACGTTGTGGATAAATGTTGGTAGTTATTAAAATTGTTATAAAAATATATAATTCTAATAAAAATAGATAAGTTATAATAAGTATTTATTAACACAAACTTCCGATACGCTACTGAAGCAGGTAAGTCAAATTAACGTATCTAAATTCTTTGACATCTAATCTTTGACAAGTAATAAATCAAAGCTAAACTGCAAGAAAAATATATAATTTAGTTAATTTAAGTGAATTTCATAAATGATCGGTTTACTACACGTATGTATATTATATAGTCACTTACTAGCGAAAAGTTGTTCCATTATTTCACTCAATTTTTGCCGAGATCTACCGCACGCTACACAACCAACTATTTTAGAGTCTTTTTTGATCAATCGCGATAGTGTCACTGTTAATTTAAGTTCTACCACAATTTCCATCTAGATTTCCTACCTTTATACAACTATCAGTAGTAGAATAAATAATAAATAACATAAAATAAGCTCCGTAAAGACTGACAAATCCACAAAATTTCAAATCAAATTCAATTGTGTCAAATGAATCGTCAAACAGAACTGTCAAGGATCCCCACCCTAGAGAGCTTTCATGGTGGCTTTTCCGCCGACCATGCATGAATACGTGGATAGCATTATGCTCCTTCCTTAGTCTTCTTATTCAAAGGTTTGGACTAAAGACAATACCCACCTATCATGAAACCACCGACCACAAAGAATGGTGGTTCACATCCACTTTTTATTAAAAAGGGAAACACTAAATTTCCACCCAGTGCTCCTATTCGACCTATCATCATTCCCAATGCTATGGCTAACGTTCTAAAATATAAATAAAATAAATAGACATTTGAAAAAATATTCCATAAATTTATCTATTAAATTTCTTATTACTTTAGTTTTTGATTAATTCGATCAATAAAATAATAGCAATATTTTGTAGTATTGTTTGTTCTCAGATGCAAAAAAACGCAACGGAAAAATTTTGTTCGTCAAGTTTTTAAAGTGTTATATTTATTTTATTTTTAGCCCTATCTTCTTGATTTTTTTAGCAAACTGTATATAAATATATGAACTTTAGTTCGTAAACTCAGTTTATTATAAACTTTAGTATTTGATTACTAACTATTTTACAGAGTTAATCGAAGAGGTCACCTGTTCCCTTTTACAAACTAATTTTGTGAGCTGAAATTTTGAAACAATTAAAATTGCAATTTTATATTTAATTTTGCATTTTTTTACATTGATTCTCTGACAAGGTGCTCTCTCTCTCTCTTCAGTCCTGACCCTCATTAGGTAGTGTAGGGGTCAGCGTAACATCATGGATGATTTTTCTCCATGCGCCTCTGTCTTTTGTCATCTCGATGACATCGTGCATTGGCTTGCTAGTCGTGATCTGGTCTATCCATCGAGTCGGAGAGCGGCAACGTGGTCTACTTCCCTCCAACTTGACTTGAATTATGAGTCTTTCAATATTGTCCGCACTTTTCCTCATTATATGTCCAAAATATTTTAGTTGTTTTAGTCGGATTGTACAGGAACGCCTCACGGTGGGGTATTAGCATGAAAAAGGTGATCGAAATTCGGAAAAGCAAATGTGTTTAAGATTTCCCAAAAAAAGATAAATGATAAGTTAAATCATGTCTGTCATGAATGGCTATGGGTGTGTTTAGTTGCATTCATTTGTTTCAACGAAACGTCAAAGTTGTTAGAGTCAAAGTTCTCAGAGATAAGAGGTAAATGGCTAAATTTTATGTTTAAAATTATAAATTATTGTTGTTCTTGTGCTCCTTTTACGTTTATATTATTGTTTTGATTGAAAATGGCTCAGCAAGCTGAAGGTATGTATTCTACAAAAACGTATTATTTATTTTGATATTCTCTATACTAACGATTTTTTTTTGCAACTAAAAGTTAGGCGTTCAGAAAATTTGATTAAATTTGTGACATTTTTATTACACTTAGAGATTTAGTTACGCATTTCGAAGAATTCAGCATATTGTCTATATACGTTTTACTTAGTAAACATTGGGCTTCCATATAGTAAAATAAAATACTGCGATTTTTTGCGACTTTGCTGATAAAGTGAGAAAAACATTCTTGGTTTCCTCTAATTTGCAAATCAGTGATATACTAATGAGAGGTGTAAACCGCGATGGCATTGTTGTGTACAAGGCGATCGCATTAGTGCCAGTAGCAGTATAGCACAATTTGGCATTAGTAGCGGCATTAGTGATATGGAAATTGGTCGCGGATCAGTCGTAGCATTAGTAGTATTAGTTGCGATATTACTACTGGCATTAATAGCATTGACCGTGGAAACACTGGAACAGTGATTTTTCTTTCTCTTTTTTAGAATCAACGAATTATCCTTTATTTAGTTCATATTATTTCCTCTTTAATTGAAAATAGCAATAATATATAAGGTCTACATAAAAAAAATTCGATCAACTATCGGTGTCAAATACCCCACTATGCGCCTGTTGGTAATATTAAGTTCATTTATAATGGAAACATTTGTACGACGTTCAGTCCATGGGATACGGAGCATACGTCTATAACAATAATACATCTCGGTAGCATCGATCTTCTTACGTTCCGCCTGCCTGAGAGTCTACGATTCGCAGCCGTGCGTCAATATTGGGAGTACCAAACAGTTGACTAGCCGGTTTTTGATGGCTCTTGAAATCTGGCGGTTTTTCCAGATCTTGGTTAGTTTCCCTTTAGCTACCTTTGCCATGTTGCACCTACGCTTCACATCTTCTTTCGATGTGCCTGTTTTTGTCAATATTTGACAAAATTCGACTTATATTTGGCTGGTTGTTATGTTGCCTATCAACTATCATCATTTTGGATTCTTGTGTATTTAGTTCCGCGGCAAAGTGCTATTTGGTGCCAAATGGTAACAATTTGGTTTCTATTTTGTGTTATTGGCCCTTATATTCTTTAGTCATAGTTTAGTGTCTTATTCTTTAACTTATTTCATACTGATTTTTATCAAGAACATAACAATAATAATATGATTATCATCAACATCATTCTCAGCTTAATCAACCATATCCAATTATTATGGTGTAGCCTCCCTCACATAGGTATTTAAATATTCTCTTTGTAGTTCTTCTTCTTCTTTGGGTGCCATGTGCTATGCCGCACGTTTGGATTGTCTGTTTTATGGCTATAAGATGACTAGGGTGCCCTCTTCGGCTCGTCGAAATATGGTTGCTGCGTCAGGTATGCCACTCCAGTTTCTTATGTTGCGAAGCCAAGAATGCTGTTTTCGACCCGGTCCCCGTCGGCCTTCGATCTTCCCCTGCTGTATCAACCTGTGTATGGAGTATTGACGTCCCCTTAATATATGTCCTAGATATGATACTTTGCGTTGTTTTACGGTATCCATTAGTTGTCTGTCTACTCTGGCTCTTCTTAGGACTTCATCATTTGTTGCATGCTCCGTCCAGGGTATGCGCAGCAATCGGCGAAGTGTCCACATTTCGAAAGCCTCAATTCTGTTTATTGATTTTACCTTAAGTGACCAAGTCTCAGCGCCATACAACATCACAGGCCACACATACGATTGAATTACCCGTATCCTGGTATGTAGCGGCATATTTCTATGCAGGAGTAAATTCTTTAGTTTAAAGAAGGTTGTTTTTGCACGGCCGATTCTTCTTTTAACTTCCTCATCGCAATCCCACAGTTCATTTAGGGAGGCGCCAAGATAGGTGAAATTTTGACCCGTCTGATGTTCCCTTCCATTGATGTTAAGATGCGAGTGTTGTACTTTGGTGTCTGCTGCAGCACCATCATTTTAGTTTTTGCAACGTTAATATGGAGCCCAAACTGTACACCGCATTCGTTCAGTTTATTTAGCAGAATCTGGAGGTCCTCAAGGTTGTTAGCCAGAATTGCGGTGTCATCTGCATAGCGGATATTATTTATTGGGATGCCATTGACTTTAATACCCCGCGTCTCACTCTCCAAGGCCATCTGAAAGATTCTCTCAACGTAGATGTTAAACAGAATGGGTGATAGTACAAATCCCTGCCGAACTCCCTTTAATACGCTGAAGGTTTCCGTTGTTCGATCACCATCAATACGGATCTCCGCCGACTGCTGCCAATACAGTTCTTTAATTATTCTGATGTCCTTGCCATCTAAGCCTATCTCCTGTAGTCTCTCCATCAACGGTTCGTGTTTTACGTTATCAAAGGCTCTCTGATAGTCAATAAAACAGATGAAAACATCTTGCCTCTGATCATAACATTTCTGCACAAGTAGTTTCACAGAGAAGAGAGCTTCTCTAGTGCCAAGACCCTTGATAAAGCCGAACTGTGTGTCGCCACTCCATCTCTTATAACTTCCGATATATTCTAGAATGGATGACTCGAAGAAACGCTTTAAGTGCGTGACTCATTAAGCTTATGAGTCTATGGTCTCCGCAGTTTTTGGGATTTGTTTTCTTTGGGATGACGATAAACGTGGAGTTTAGCCAGTCCTGTGGGATTTGTTCTTGTAGTTAGTTCTACCAAATTTCTTTGTAGTTAGTTCTACCAATTGTTGTCTATTTTTGGCTATGTAGGCCCAATCTATCGGGCCTTATCCCTGCTAATTTCCTAATATCATGGTTCCATCTCAGGTTCGGCCTTATCCTAGGTCGTTGTATATTACTTTAGTTTTTGGTAAATTAGTTTTGAGACCTACTTTATTGCTGACTGTATTTAGGTCGCTAATTGTGCTTGTAGTTCTTCTGGACTATTGACAATTAGGTCTATGTGATCAGCGAATCTTAGATAGTTAAGATATTCTCCATCTATTTTTAATCCTTTGTTGGTGCAGACCAGTTGACGGAAGATTTGTTCTAGTGTTGCTGTAAACAGCTTTGGGGATATGGCGTCTCCTTATCGTACACCTTTGCCAGTTGGGAACTCTGGGTGATATCACATGATATCGTAATTTTTTTTTTTAAGATGATACTCACCTGAGAGTTGTTGGAAACAAATCCACAGTTACCGATATCACAATATTACTGGATAGTGATCCGCAAGCTATAAATATAGCTGAGCATGCCAGAGCGACGCTTGGTTGTTGCGAAAAGTACATTCCAATACAGAATCCACCACCTAGACATTGTACCACCACTAAAACAGATAAATTGTGCTAAATGTTAAAATACTGCTTCTTCCTAAAATAGATAAGAAATATTTGATTGAAATGACGATACAGGGGATGTTTATTTGAAAAAAAAACAGGTACCTACATATGTACGTATTATTTACTTTATATTGTAGGGCCTTTACAATTCCCTGTATAAAGTGTCAGTTTACTTACATAAAATTTTCTTTTTTCCTAAAAGCCTTATGAGTGTACCGACCAGAATATATCCACATATTGCAGTACTACCAACTATAATGGAGTTGATATATATCGTGGAATTGTCTGTATTCTGAAATAAAGACAAATTATATACATAAAGAAAATGTATGCCTAGAGGAAGCAAACATTAAATTCATTGTCCAAAAAAGTGACATCGATTTAAGTAAATGAAGAATTAGTTTATCTATAATATAAAATTCTATAGGTAATAAATTATTAATAGATTTAATAAGCTGAGAATGATGATGATTATCATGTTATTATTATTATGCTCTTGATAAAAATCAGTATAAAATAAGTACAAAATTGCATAGGTACTTACCACTACACACTTTCCGGAAATGCTTGAATTTGTGGGAGTAATAATTTCCAACATCGTACATAAACTTGCCGATGCTCCATCGTGCATTATTTGATAATCCGTCATTGTTTGGAAAATCTGGGGTAACCACAACCGTAACATATTCAAACTAGAAAATATAAAGTGTTAATGAGATTTTCTTTCTTACTTTAAATTAAATGTGAAACAGTGGTTTATCTATTTATTCGTGTCAAAAGCATTGCACATAATATACAGGGTTGTTCACCACATACGACACGGAGTATTGTAGCTAAACGACTAGATTTTTACAAATTGTAAGTTTTGGGTTCGTTGAAGGACTATTAGAGCTACAATTTAAAAATATTTTTACAAGATACAGAGTGTTCCAAATATATAAAATATAATAAAGTTGTATTATTTTAAATGGAACCCTATATATTATAACATTTTTAGTTTCTACGATTAAAATAAAGGTAAATTTGATTAAGGTTTATTACACTTAAACCTTACCGTTTTTGAAATATTTTCAATTTTGTGAAATTGCAGTATACATTTTAAGGCTTCATTTTTCCGAGGGTATCAAAGTTTTTAATACTAAATATTAACTGAAGTTTATTTATTGATCAGTTATTGTGTTGCAATAATAAAAACTTTACTACCTTATACAGAATCTCTAAAAATTTATTTTAAATAATTACTAGCTTTAAACAGCAATAACTTGTTTGATTTAAATGGAACACCCTGTATGTTTTATGAGAATCAGATGCACAATTTAATTGTCTATCAAATTGTATTATACCGTTTTTTACATATCTTTTCAAGTTTCCGTAGAAAATGCATTTTCTTGTAATTTAGAACTCATTTATCAATATACCCATGGAATACTGATATTTTAGATTATTTTTAAAGATGTACCAAATTTTTAAAGAGTACAGATACTAATATTGTCGGTATAGTTCGTTTAGTTCATTAAAAAATAAAAAAAACTGTTTAAATATTTGTTAAAGAGGACCAAAATATGATTCCAGTATTGAAACTACATTCATTGACTGTTTGCGTTGATTAATAATAATTGCTTCAAATACTAAAAAGCTGAATTATGTATGTGTATTAGACAGTGTGGTAAAAAGTAACACCTTAAAAATGATATTTAATTTTTTGACAAATGCTTATTTATAACAACAGATACGTTCATTTTCATAACTTATTATTATATTGATTTCTGATTCAAATCCACATTTATTTAGAAAAATTTATTAACGAATACAATTAAGTATGTAGTTAATTAGTATTTAGGCGGAAATACTGATGGTTTATTTAATTAATGGTATACTTTTTTATAAAGATTTAAATAGTTTTCTTTTTGTATACAAATGGCCTAGTAATATTATCGTTTTACTTAAAACGATAATATTACTAGCCTGTACATTTTGTACATTTGTTGTTTTAAAAACAATCTAAAATGTCAATATTCCATGGGTATATTTATAAATGAGGTCTAAATTATAAGAAAATGCATTTTCTACGAAAACTTGAAGAAATAGGTAAGAAGTGGTACAATACAATTTGATAGACCGTTAAATTGTGCATCTGATTCTCATAAAATATACAGGGTGTTCTATTTAAAGTAAATAAGTTATTGCCGTTTAAAGCTAGTAATTATTTAAAATAAATTTTTAGACACTGTATAAGGTAGTATAATTTTTATTATTGCAACACAATAACTGATCAATAAATAATCTTCAGTAAATATTTAGTATTAAAAACTTTGATATCCTCGGAGAAATGAAGACTTAAAATTTATACTGCAATTTCGCAAAATTGAAAATATTTAAAAAACGGTAAGGTTTAAGTGTAATAAACCTTAATCAAATTTACCTTTATTTTAATCGTGGAAACTAAAAATGCAATAATATACAGCGTGTTCCATTTAAGAAAACACAACTTTGATATTTTTTATTTATTTGGGACACTCTGTATCTTGTAAAAATATTTTTAAATTGTAGCTCTAATAGTCCTTCAACGAACCCAAAACTTACAATTTGTAAAAATTTAATCGTTTAGCTATAATACTCCGTGTCGTATGTGGTGAACAACCCTGTATATGTCACTATAAATGTCCGAAATGCGGTAAAACCTAGGATAAGCGCGCTAAACCTAGGATTTACCAAAATCAAGTGGTAAAAACTCGAAAATTTCTTAATTTGGTTCCATTTCGGGCTTTTACCGGAACCAAATAGTAAATCTTAGGATTTACCACACCGCATTCGTAGAATTAGAATTAGAATGAGTGGGAGAGGGGTTAATCACTGCCATCTTACAGCTCTATTGTGTTCCCCTTTCTTGAGATATCACTCATCATATAGTCCCAGGGCTTTGACAAAAGTCAGTATGTGGGACGGTTTTATAGAGGGGAGTTCTCCATCTCCAATATCAGTCGTACCAACCCATATAACACACAATATCCGCAGGATATTCATAGAAATGTCGGAATGTCCCATTATAAGATCATCTTATAAAGACATCTATAGGATATCCTCCAGACATCCTGAAATCCTGTAGATGTCTCAGAATAGAATATCCTATGGATATCTCTGTCGTATATCTAATGTACATCCAGCTGAGATATCCAAACATGCTCATGATAATAAAATATCCTAACAATATCCGTCTAGATATTTAGGAAAAATAAATAATGTAGTACTTTTTATATTACATAAAATGCAATAAACCATACAGATAGATATATATTACGCCAAGGAAACAAAATATCGTGTTGGTATCTTTTGGATAATCTGAATATTTATGCGCTTAGCCACTCCCAGTAATACAGAGAATTTAAAACGCCCGCACAAAAAATTTCCCACAATTCATCTCGACAGTTGTTTGTTTTTGCATCGTGTATTATTCAGTTTTTGATTTAGTGAAATTCGAGGTGAATTCGGTCGTTTGTCGATATAGGGATGAGCTTAAAAATGACTGAAACCACAATTGAAACTAACAAAACTGGTTGAGTTTGACTTAGTTTTTTCTTATACTCATAGTTCTAGCCTTGTTCTAGCAGAAATTCTATCCTAACCTCAACTAATGTCGAAAAACGACGAACGACTCAAGTCTCACAATGAAAAATTTGTGACAAAATTATAGGTAAAAATTTGTTGAAAAGCGCTTGTTCTTTATCCCTAAACCCATTTTCGTGTTTGATCTATTCAAACAGAAATCCTATTTTTGTGTTTAAATTGTGAGTTTCTGGAATGTGTGGTGTTAGAAATTATACCTGTATCATGTGTGCTAACTTTGATGTAAACTGTTGCTGCTAGACCAGACTGCTAGACTCCATAAAGGGTAGTATAATCTGGTATAATACCATACGATCGAAAAAAACGGCATCAGAGGTGGCTTGGAAATGAAGATAGCTGTTATTTTGTACGTAAAATTATATGGGGAATGTCATCGATCGTAATTTTCAAGCCAATTGAACGCCGTTTTTTTTCGATGGTACAGTATAAATTGAAAGCTCTTAACTTATACAAATAAACTTATAAATTTTGACGCAAAATTCGTTGACATATTTATGTAGGTATATTTTCGAGCTGTTAATAAAAATATCCAATGAATAACGTCAAAATGTGGCTAAATAAAACTAAATCGCGAACGTTTTTACTATAAACTAAGGATGAAGTAAGTATTGTCAAATAACAGTCCTCATATAATGTCCTAAAAATATTTTATAATGCTCCCAACATCATCCTTGTATTATCCTAGAAATATTCTAAATAATCGTAAAAGGCTTGCCTAGGGATGTCTTGAAGATGACTTTTTTTGTCCCACTTGGATATCCCATAAATATCCTCCTCTGGTTTTTGGATATCCCTAAGATATTTACTATATCCTTGGTGGATATCCTCAAGATATCTATAGGATTGTGTTGTGTTATATGGGAAGTTCATGGCACGAATGGTTGTCGTCTCGGCGCACTCAGTGATGAGGTGTACTGGTGTTTCCCCATTTTCCCCACAGAATCTGCATTCGCGGTTTTTTCTTAGTTTCAATCTACTGAGGTGTTCATTGAGGAGACAGTGTTTTCAAACCTAAGTGTGGAGAAGATTGTTACCTAAATCCAGGAAGATCTTTGATTTTTCTTGATCGTAAACCCTCAGAAACTTCTTCGAGTGTCTTAGACCGTTGCAAGATTCTCATTCCAGGTTGCGGATGGAGTCTTCCAAGTTCTTGTGTTCCGCCTTGAGTTGGTTACCACTTGGAAAGCAGAACGGTTCTGGTCTAGTTACTGGAGTGTTCGCTCCTTTTCTAGCTAGATCGTTTGCTTATTCATTGCCTTCTATCCCTTGGTGAGCAGGCATGCAGAGTAGGTTTCTTTGCCTAATTTATTCAGCTTCTCTATGCATTCTTTGATCAATTTCGAATTGATTAATACTGAGTTGATCGCTTTTAACGCTGCTTGACTATCAGATAAGATGGATATTTCTTGTTTCCGATAGTTCCTATCTAAGATAAGTTGTACGCATCTTTCGATAGCGTAGATTTCTGCCTGTAGGATGCTAGGGTAGGTGCCCATTGGTTCGGAGTATTTAGTTCTCGACCCAAGTATACCAAGTTATCGTATGGTCTTGTAACTGCTGGGCATTGAGCTGTTTCTCAAAGTTGTACGTTCGTGGCATATCATCCTCTGGGAGTTGCAGGAGTGGTATTTCCTTTTTGAGGGTGTTTCAAACCCCTGATGTACCGCATTGGTAAAAGTACGAATTATTTTTCTTATAGCAACAATATCGACAAATTATCGACTGGTTATTTGGGGGGTGTTAATGCATTGGTTAGGTGGTTATTTGGTGGGGTTGGTTGGTTTTTACTACCACTTGCTTATTCGTACTTTTACCAATGCGGTGTGGTAAATTCTAAGATTTACTGTTTGGGTCCGGTAAAAGTCCGAAATGGAAGCAAAATAAATAGTTTTCGGGCTTTTACCACATGTTTTGGTAAATCCTAGGTTTAGCGCGTTTATCCTTACTGGTGGAAATATTATCAGTACTGACCTAAAATTTGAATTTGGTTGCAGATCATAATCCTTAGATAAATGCATGTTTTTAAATAATTGAGGATTTTTTAATCCGCTTTTGTATGTTTGGGATACTATTGTATTTACTGGTGGAAACATTGTTAATATTGACCTAAAATTTGAATTGTTCACAGAACAACATACCTATTTCTTAATTAAAAAAAATCTTTCTGTAATATTAGTTTGTGTAGTAATATCAAAGAATATCTTGTAATATTCAAAATAATTAAATTAAATATAGGGATCGATATCTCATGAATTTAGTACGCGAACAAACTCAAGAGGGCGCAATTCTTTTACTTTTATTTCATGACATATAAGTCAAAATTCTAAAGGGGGATGTTTTGTGTACATTACTTGATGAACAACGACACATGTCACATCGAGTTTTGACAGTACATCCACAGGCGTACATCAACAACTTACCTCATAACGCTAAAGAACATGATGCTACAAGTAAGACAAACTTTCGCTAGATGAGGCGGATAGAACAACGGTTTGATTTGCTGCAAACCTTCTTTCAAGGCTTGAGTTGTGCTTCTTTGAGCAGTTACTTTCCCTCCATGTTTGCTATTTCCGTTCAGTTTAGTTTCGTCGATGAGCAGCTTGATCTGTAACACCAACACATCAAATTATTTTTACTGTAAGTCGTTTATACGGCTTACAGGATAAGAGCCTCTTGGTTCTCCTGTGTTGATGCTGTAGACTCTCCTCAGCACTTCCAAAGCTTTCTCGTTTTGTCCGCATGTCATGAGAAACTTGGGACTTTCGGGTAAAAACATGTAGAATAGACCGCTGGTGAATGCTGGTAATCCGCTTACAAGTAAGAAGATATTCCAGGAATGAAAACCTGAAAACATATTGAGTCTTTATAATACTCATAATCAAAAATGTATTTTTTAACACCCTGTATATTATTACATTTTTAGTTTCTACGATTAAAATAAAGGTAAATTTGATTAAGGTTTATTACACTTAAACCTTACTGTTTTTTTAAATATTTTCAATTTTTTGAAATTGCAGTACAAATTTTAAGGCTTCCCCCAGCTTCCCTAGCTTTAAACGGCAATAACTTGTTTAATTAAAATGGAACATCTAGTGTATTTTAAAACAATCAGATGCACAATTTAATTGTCTATCAAATTGTATTACGCCATTCTTTACTTATCCCTTCAAGTTTTCGTAGAAAATGCATTTTCTTATAATTTAGACCTCATTTATCAATACACCCATCTTAGATTGTTTTTAAAACAACAAATGTACAAAATGTACAGGTGTTAAAAACGTCAATATCACTAGGCCATTTGTGTACACAAACAAAACTATTTAAATCTTTATTATAAAAGAGTATAACATTAATTAAATATACCACCATTATTTCCGCCCAAATATTAATTAGTTACATACTTAATTGTGTTAGTTAATAAATTATTCTAAATAAATGTGGATTTGAATCAGAAATGAATATAATAATAAGTTATGAAAATGAACGTCTCTGTTGTTATAAATAAGCATTTGAAAAAATTAAATAAAATTTTTAAGGTTTTACTTTTCACCACACTGTCTAATACACAATATACACATACAAAATTCAGTTTTTTAGTATTTGGAGCAATTATTATTAATCAACGCAAACGCAAATGTAGTTTAAATACTGGAATCATATTAATTAATTGGTCGTCTTTAATATTTAAACAGTTTTTTTAATGAAATAAGCCACAATCGACAATATTAGTATATGTACTGTTTAAAAATTTGTTACATCTTTAAAAATAATCTAAAATAATAAATGATAAACGAAGTCTAAATTATAAGAAAATGCATTTTCTACGAAAACTTGAAGAGATAGGTAAAAAATGGTATAATACAATTTGATAGAAAATTAAATTGTGCATCTGATTCTCATAAAGTATACAGGGTGTTCCGTTTCAATTAAACAAGTTATTGCCAAATTAAAACTTAAATAAACGTAGGTAAATGAAGCATTAAAATTATTACTGTACTTTGACAAAAACCTTAGTATTTCATAAACGGTAAAATTAAAATGCGGTAAACCTTAATCAAATTTACCTTTATTTTAATCATAGAAACTAAAAATGTAATAATATGTAGGGTGTTCCGTTTAAAAAATTATAACTTTTATATTTTTTATTTATTTGGGACACTCTGTATCTTGTAAAAATATGTTTAAATTGTATAATATATTATTAATTGTATATATTATCAGTGCCGTTCTAATTTTATTCAAAACGTGTAAAAATATCATGCAGGGTAGACTCTAAAATTAATTGTTTTATTTTACGTTGCCAATAAATGTCGGTAGTTATATATTATAATATATGTTGGTAGTTGCCAATAAATGTTGGTAGCCAATAAATGTTGGTAGCTGAAAAGTTATTCCATTATTTCCCTCGATTATTGACCGAGATCTACCGCACGCTACACAACGAACTATTTTACAGTCTTTTTCGACAAATCGCAATAGTGTCATTGTTAATTTAACTTTTGGCACAAAAAATTTCCTTCTATATTTACTACCTCTAAACAACTACCAGTTGTAGAACAAATAATAAATAACATAAATTTGCTCAGTAAAGACTGAGATATGCAAAAAATTTCAAATCAAATTTAAATATGTCAAATAAATCGTCACACAGAACCGTAAAGGATCCCCACCCTAGGACCCTACCTTCGTCTACCATGCATGCATGAATACATGGCTAGCATTATACTCCTTTCTTAATCTTTTTATTCTAAAATTAGTAACAAATTATTAATATACTGCTATAATTTTGATTTTAGATTTATAAATACACATTTACGAGATATACCTACTGGAATATTTATTAAAGGTTGGAAGATGGAGGTTGTAAAATTCAAGTAGCTTAAATCATTAACATATCTTATCTAAATTCAAATACAGGATTTTTGAAGATTGTGCGAAGCACTTACTCTCTGTCTTAAGAAAAACTATAGTTTATCCAACGATTAGGTATGCATTATTTTAATTCAAAAGTTTGTTTTTAAATAAATTAAAATAAATAGATATAAATATAATATGAACAGAGATAATGGCTCAATTCCCATTGTCATAGTGCTCTCTTCCTCTATTGCCCTAGTAGTTCAGTCAGTGGGGATTTTTGCTTGGAAAAAAGTCCGGAAGTTTTGAAACTTTGCAGGTTTATAGGTTTTGGGGTCCTTAACTAAAACCCATAAAATGCACATTTCCAGACTTGCCGCCGGCGCACGGTGGGGTATTAGCATGAAAAAGGTGATCGAAATTCGAAAAAGCAAATGTGTTTAAGATTTCCCAAAAAAAGATAAATGATAAGTTAAATCATGTCTGCCATGAATGGCGTTGCTATGGGTGTGTTTCGTTGCATTCATTTGTTTCATAGACATTAGCGGTAAAATCTGCCTCTTTGAGCACGATACTAGTTTCACTTGGAGCGGCCCAGATGTTACGGCACTATATGATACTATATCCAGTGACTTACGCACCATTAAATCTTGGTGCGATTCTAATCTCCTATGCCTCAACCTTTCAAAAACTAAAGTTTTGTCATATAAAAGTACTATACAAACTTTTGTACTTAATAACACCACTATTGACGTCGTGGACTCTGTGGATTCTTAGGACTTGTTGTGGACAACTCTTTAAAATGGGACTTGCACATCGAAGCCTTATCAAAGAAACTAAGCTCTGCCTGTTTTGCGCTAAGATCAGTGTCTAAGGAACTTAACTCATCAACCTCTAGAATGGTCTATTATGCCCTTTTTGAGTCGCATCTTCGTTATGCCCTTCCATTCTGGGGTACTTGCTGCGCGACAAAATTTGATCGTATTTTCAAACTTCAAAAGAGAGCAGTTCGATACTTATTGGGACTAAACAGTAGAACTCACTGCCAGAATTTCTTTAAAAATTTCAAAATACTGACTCTTCCTTCCTTATTCATTTTTGAATCCGTTTGCTTAATCCGCAAGCACATATTCTCTATTCCGGAAAGGCCTTCTCACAACTATCCACTTAGGAATGCGGAGCACGATATTTATCTGCCAACCCCGAGCTCAGAACTAGTTAAGGGCTCAATACTGTACAATGCCAAGAAAATGTACAATCATTTGCCTTCGAATATCAAGTCACTTTCATTCTTTCCCGCATTTCGCAAAGCTCTGAAATCATACTTACTGGAGAGAGCCCTATATGCGGTAAACGACTTTTTTGTTGATGTTTAATCATGAACAATTTAGAATTTTAATTTTAATATTTTGATCATCTCACACACTGGTTAAAGGTCTAGTATTTAATATTTTATAACTCTTGATTTTATGTTATTATAACATGATTTTATCCATTTACAGTTTTCCTTTTGTAAAATTTTCTAGATACGCCTGTGTTCTGCAATGTCCATATATGTTTTATTTGTAATTATATGACGTATTTTTTTTTTTGGAATTGATTTGTATTGTATGACATTCTTTTTTTATTATTTGTATATTTGTTTTTGTGCTTTTTTTGTTTTGCTTTGTCGATGAAGCTGTTTTGGCTTTTTGTACAATAAAGCGTTTTTTTTCATCGAAACGTCAAAGTTGTTACTTCTCACAGATAAGAGGTAAATGGCTAAATTTTATGTTTAAAATTATAAATTGTTGTTGTTCTTGTGCTCTTTTTACGTTTATATTATTGTTTTAATTGAAAATGGCTCAGCAAGCTGCAGGTATGTATTCTACAAAAACCTATTATTTATTTTGATATTCTCTATACTAACGATTTTTTTTGCAACTAAAAGTTAGGCGTTCAGAAAATTTGATTAAATTTGTGACATTTTTATTATACTTAGATATTTAATTGCGCATTTCGAAGAATTCAGCATATTGTCTATATACGTTTTGCTTAGTAAACATTGGGCTTTCATACAGTAAAATAAAATACTGCGACTTTTTGCGACTTTGCTGATAAAATGAGAAAAACATTCTTGGTTTCCTCTAATTTGCCAATCAGTGATATACTAATGCGAGGTGTAAACCGCGATGGCATTGTTGTGTACAAAGCGATCGCATTAGTGCCATTAGCAGTATAGCATAATTTGGCATTAGTACCGACTTTAGTGGTATGGGCATTGCTCGCGGATCAGTCGTAGCATTAGTAGTATTAGTTGCGATATTACTACTGGCAGTAGTGGCATTGACCGTGGAAACACTGGAACAGTGATTTTTCTTTCTTTTTTTTTAGAATCGACGAATTATTCTTTATTTTGTTCATATTATTTCCTCTTTAATTGAAAATAGCAATAATTTATATAACGTCTACATAAAAAAATTTCGATCAACTATCTGTGTCAAATACCCCACTGTGCGGCGCCGGCGCCGCCATCTTGCCAAGATGGCGCCCAAAATCGGTATTTTGTAAATATCTCGAAAACTATGTGTTTTTCGCAAAAAAATGAGGAGAGCAATATTTATTTTGTTTTTATTATATTTATTATTTATTTATTTTTAAATTTCCTATAAAAAAGGTTCTAAGAAAAGTTTCGCTAAAGTCAACCGTGTAGGCACAAAATCCCTGGGAATTTTACAATTTTGCGTAAAATATGATACATAAATGTATAGTCGATTTTCCGAAATCAAATGTCGATTAGGGTTCATTAAAACTAGTTTTAGTTTAGTTTCTTCAATTTTGTCATAAAACAGTGGCATATCATTAATTCGCTCGTTAATTTATGAATAATTAATTTTAATTATTGAAAATATGTACTTGTTTCCACACCACCCAAGAGGTAAAGTACAACCAAGAGGTTATCTGTACAAACCCGACGGACCTGGCTCATTGATGTCAAAGTTGATCATGTCTGCTGTGCTGGGCTCATCAAGGTGGTCTCTCAATTTGTCCAACTCTTCATCTTCAACCGCCAGAGGGATATCTACAGGCAAGTCCAATTCCTCTTGACAGTGCTCCTCTTGAGTCCCCCTTTAGTGACGTTGTCACAGGATTTCCCATTGCAGTATGCACAAATCATTGAACATTTTAATCCTGCTGTTCTGCATCCGCAGGCTCTACCACAGTTGTTGGTTTTGCATTTACAGGATAAAAATGCCAATAGGGATTTTGGAACTGGATCTGTCAACGTTGTGACTGGAGTAATGCCTGTTTTTGTTTTCTTCCAACTCCATTCTTCGGCATCTTTGGCACAACCAGACCAATGCTGAACCTGGTGGCAAGTTCGCAATGAATGCTATCCAGCACGACAAATAATTATTCATAAATTAATTAGCGAATTAATGATACGCCACTGTTTCATGACAAAATTGAAGAAACTAAACAAAAACTAGTTTTAGTGAACCCCAATCGACATTTGATTTCGGAAAATCGACTATACAAACGCATAGTTTTCGAGATATTTACAAAATACCGATTTTGGGCGACATCTTGGCAAGATGGCGGCGCCGGCGGCAAGTCTGGAAATGTGTATTTTATAGATTTTAGTTAGGGACCCCAAAACCTATAAACCTGCAAAGTTTCAAAACTTCCGGACTTTTTTCCAAGCTGGCTCCTTTTTTGATCCCCAATGACTGAACTGGTTCTGGAAGTGGTTCTGACATGCTTGGCTAATTTGGTCAATTGGCTTAATCAGTACCAACCGAGTGACTCTATAAATGCTCATTTTGTAGATAATAGATTAGTTTTAATCATCTGCTGATGAGTCGGTGGTAAGGCTAAAGTATTTTGGTCTATTGTGTTTTATTTTCCTAATGTTCTTATGCTTAAAAAAATAAACGTGATACTTACTGTAGTCCCCAACAAAGAAGTCAATTTTATACGGTAAAATCAACCAGGCTATCAGTGGAAGGAAAGCTGTTCCAAAACTATTACAGGAACCAATGATAATTTGACACATGGGCCTGTATTTTGCACTATGGAACTCGGACATATATGAACTTAAAGCTGCGAATGGTCCATTAATGCTACAATTGATAAGCATTAAGTTATTGAAATTAGTATTTCAGATCAACTACAATCAACATACATAAAGCCTTGTAAATATTTTGTGACTAGTAGTAAAGCAATATTTTGTGTCAAGGCACTTGTGAATACAAATATGGAGTCGACAAGGAAGCCGATTACTAAAAGTTTTTTTCTTCCAAGGACATCAAATAGAAATCCCCATATTATCGCACTAGAGATCATACCTAAAATAGTTAACAAATATTTACATATTTTATAGATTATTGTTTACTAATTCAATTAAAAATATGTAAGTAGAAATAAAATATTTATAATTTAGACCGCGCCATAGTTAAGTAGAATTTAGAAGTACTGTAACCATTTAAAACGAGCTTTTGAAAGAAAAAAGTGAATATTGGATTTTAAGGGATATTTAGATTATATCTGCAAGCTTACCCATTGGAGGCAGTATAATTTTACACTTTAATGTCACTTTAATTTTACTTTAAATTACTTTTATTTTTTACTGTTAGTTATTTTTATTTTACTTTGTGGCGTTACAGGTAAAACCTACACGGGACTTGAACAAAAACTTTTTTGTAGGACTTGTCCTGCATTAAAGTATTTACTAGCTTCAATAGGTAAGCATACAGGTATCGTACTAAATATATCTAAAACTCGCAACTCGTTGGAACAACCAAAAAACCAAATATCCCAATTTAATTACTTGGGCGTGAATATATCTCTTGTTACAGATCTTTTTAGATGAAGCCAGGATACAAGCAAATAAAGCAGCACGAATATCTGGCTATTTAAGAGATACCTACCATATATTATGAAGTATTAAATTCATGCAAAGGAAAAACAAAATTCGCATATACAAGACTTCTGTTAGGCTAGTTAAAAACAATACCACAAATTATCTATAACAGATGCGAAAGAACACCGAATTACGCGTTCAGGTTTCTGTGACCTTCAGAAAGAGTTCATAGACAATCCGCATCAATGTATAGTTTGGGTTATTATTTGTTTGGGTGAAAATAATCTGCACCAATATGTTATCGAGGCATACAAAAAGGTCCACAGACTTCGAGACATACGAAAAATCAAGTCCATTTAGCGTGTGTCGCAATTTTCACACCTTAAAAAATTAGTTTTTTATAGCTATGACAACTGCAGCGACTATGAAAAAAGCTGTGTGATTTTCATAGAAAATAAGGGCACCTGTAATTCATTTGAGAATGTTATAAATCGCTAAAAGAGGTTTCAAATCTCTTGGATTTCTATTAATATTAAATAAATTTTATTAAAAATTGAACTAAAATTTTTAGTATCATTAAAAACAATTCATCAGTCAAATTCCCTCATTTAAGGTGAATATTAAAGTAAATATAAATACAGCTCATTCTAAGCTCTACTTATCTTTAAGAAAAATTTAAATCATTGTTGCAATTGGGCCTTAATGCCATTTCGAATGAACAATAGTATTAATAATGTACATTATAATAATAATAAATTTTATATCATAGTGTGTATAAAAACTACTAAAACACTTTTAAATTGGTATTATATTAACAACTTTTGTTTTTTAATCCAAAAAAGTTACCAATTTTCTCAATCAAAATATTTGTGGTCCTGAAAAGGACCTTCGTTTTCCCCATGTTTGTCAAGGTAGGTAATGGGTAAACGGTAAAAAACAAGATAATGAAATTTAAAAATTACAAAAATTGTTCAAAAGTGCCTCCCTCTTGCATTAAACAATAACCCAAACGATCATAAAATCCCCTCCTCACATTGGATAACATATCAGGGGTGACAGTGTCAAAGGCATTAAATATTTTCTGCCTTAACTGCTCCAAGTTTTGAATTTCTTCATGGCCGTAAATTTTAGATTTTATGTACCCCCATAAAAAGAAATCATTTACCGAGAAGTCAGGTGAAATTAAACGTAAGTCTAAACAAAACTGTCATTTTTGAAAACTTGTCAAAATTTGGACACACGCTAAATGGACTTGATTTTCCTATGTCTCGAAGTCTGAGGACTTTTCTTTATAATCTCACAGTAATTTAATAGATTGCTCGTCATATTATATCAGCTCGTAGGAGATTAGAAAAAAAAAAAGATATTTATAGTATAAAAAATTAATTTATATAACAAAATTTAATTAAAGATGTGACAAAATAGTTACATTTCTATTGGTTCTATCGGACTTTTTTCGACTATATAAATCTTTATTTTTGTAAACTTTAATGCATAAAATATTTTCAATCTAATAAATAATTTAATGATGTAAATAAGAGGAAATTTCTCACATGGGTGGTCAAATTCTATAGTTTTCATTATATCAAACAGCCTCTGAATGTTTTCTTCAGTGCCAAACTCATCAAAATTTAATATAAATAATTTTTCCAGCCTGTAAATAAAATGAACAAATTTTTCCACTTTCATGATCAAAGGCTTTTAAATGGGTAAATAATTTCGAGTTATCCAGAGATTCGGATTCTTTTGCAAATTTTAGACAAATATCACATTGATGTATTTGAAGACCTTTTTTAATGATGTAGTCAAACATAATTAAAGGCATTTTGAGTTGAAAACATTTCTCAGAGGCTGTTTGATATAATGAAAACTATAAAATTTGACCACCAATGTGAGAAATTTCCTCTTATTTACATCATTAAATGATTTATTAGATTGAAAATATTTGATGTATTAAAGTTTACAAATAAAGATTTATATAGTCGAAAAAAGTCCGATAGAACCAATAGAAAGGTAACTATTTTGTCACATTTATAATTAAATTTTGTTAAATAAATTAATTTTTTATACTATAAATATCTTTTTTTTCCTTATAAATAAACACATTTGCATCCCATTTTAAATAAAATATACAAATTTTCCGATGCAGTCGCTTTCTTTCGCATCTGTTATAGGAAATTTGTGACAATACTCAGAATAACAGAAATGAAAATATTAAGAACGATATACTAAGTTACATTAAGAGATGGAATTCGAAACCTCGACATCAGAAAGGAACTGGAAATACAATACATAGTGTAGGTGGAGAAGATCGAGAAGGCGTCATATTGGGAAGAACATGTTGAAAGAATGGACCGCGACAGAATAGCAAAATGGGTGCGAACAACAATTCCTAATACTTTCACACCACCTGACAGGCCAGCAAAAGGGTGGTACAAAAGTTTGACTTCTGTATCACAAGAGGCTTGATAGCTGTTTTATACAGATACAGGGTGGTGCCTCTCATACGCCGCGGAAGCTCCAGGGAGAACGGTAGTTCTTATCGAAATGAAATTTTGGCAGCCTATGTAGGTTAACTTAAAGAATTTTATAAAAATATATAGAATTATACAGGGTGTCCCCAAAAAAAGTTACACATCGAAGTTTTGATTTTTCTAATAGAACATCCTATATATTAGTTGATTTTTGGATTGTAGAAAAAAATAAAGGTGGGTTTTATTAAAGAAGCATATACCTAAAATCTAAGGATTTTGACATATTTCACATTTTGTAAAAATGAAGAGTAAATTTTAAATTTCAATAACAGCTACCTAAATTTTAGTTGAGTAACCATTGTATGTTAAACCAAATTGAAATTTGACCCGAAAAGTTATATAGGGTGAGACAAAATTAATATGGAACATTATCACTGTCACTTTTAAAAGCAAGTTACTTCTTTATTTTAAAAGGAACACCCAGTATATTATTCGGGTGTTCAATGGGGAATTTATATATCTACAAAATATTATTAAGGTTGCCTACCCCTCAGACAAATATTTTTCTAGATATTTTAATTTTTATGATTTTGCGTCAGTAGTATATTATTTGAAAAAAATATAGGTGGCTGTGATATGCCTTTTGTTAATTTAACAAAAATTAAAATTGTAGAGTAAAATACTTAACGGTACTAAAAAGATACACGTTTAAAACATATTTTAATTATTACAGAATTAAAACTAGATATAAACCTATAATTATGTGACAAAAATTAGCTAGATGAAATCAAATGCTCAAAATGCTTCCTTTCCTGTTAACTGCATAGAATAATTGTCTTTTCAAAAGGATCTTTTCATTTTAAAAGGCATTATGTGGAGTTCTACCTTGAAAAGCAGCTACAATAATTTTTCTCATATTGTCGACAATAGGTGGTCGAGTTTTTTTAAACACTGTCTTTAACATATCTCCATAAAAAAACCAGACTAGATAAAATGAGGAGCATTTAAGTATTCTATTAATTGGTGAATGCACACTGCATTGACAATAATTTATTTATTTATTGCAATTAACTACGGAGAATAATATCAATTCTTTCTGATGTAGGATAAGTTTGCATTTTTGGGCAAATCTCTGAGAAATTTTCTTGTTTTAACTGACACAAATTGATAACTAGTTGTTAAAGTTGGACTAATTAGACAGCTATGTTGAAGTAACGTCAGACATATCGCAGCCACCTAGATTTATTAAATAATAAAGATCTACTCAGATCAAACCATGTAAATGAAAATATCTAGGAAAATCTTTGTTTGAAGGGTAGGCAACCTTAATAGTATTTTGAAGAGACATGAATTCTTCACTGAATATCGGAATAATATACTGGGTGTTCCATATAAAATAAAAGAGTAACATCCTTTTGAAGTTGACCAATGTTCAATATTAATTTTGTCTCATCCTATATAACTTTTTGTATATAGGGTGTTATTGTATAGGGTGTATATGGGGTTTTGTATATATATATATATATATATATATATATATATATATATATATATATATATATATATATATATATATATATAACTTTTTATTAAGTTTTAATTTGATTTAAAGTACAATAGTACAATATATATATATATATATATATATATATTTAAATCAAATTAAAACTTAATATTAAAAGTTATATATATATATATATATATATATATATATATATATATATATATATATATATATATATATATATATATATATATATATATATATATATATATATATATATATATATATATATATATATTTGTACTATTGTACTTTAAATCAAATTAAAACTTGATACAAAAAGTTATATAGGGTGAGACAAAATTAATATTGAACATTGGTCAACTTCAAAAGGATGTTACTCTTTTATATACAGATGTTACAATTTTTCTTTCTATTTCTTGCATTTTAGAGATTGAAAGACACTTTTAGATATTAAAAGTGTCTTTATTAACTAAAGACACTTTTAATATGATACGGCAATAGTGTAACCTATAAACTTGTTTAAATATTATGATATAGAACACAATCACATATTGTTAACCGTGTGAAAAGAGAGATTAACCAAAAGAAAACCAAAACAATGACCTTAAATTTCCCAAATAAATATAAAGCGAATATAACACATTTCAATAAAAACGTAGTAGATGGTATTAATAGTAAAATATGAATTTATTATAACAGTGTTGTTATAAAAAAAATGTATCAGTATCATCATGTAATTATCGTTATATGATAACCGATTTTTATTAAAACTTTGTTGTCACGGTCGAAGTGTACTTGGACCATGTTTAATTTATGTCAATGATGACAGAGTATTGATAATTTCGATATCTAAAAAATATCTCGAGAACCATTACCTGTAGCGATTTTTACCAACAGACCTTTTTTACGTAAAAAACGTCGTAAATGTATAATTTTTACTCAGTAGTTTTATACAGGTACGGACGAAAACTTATTACACTTCAAGCCACTTAATAAAATATGTAGGATATGAGTCCTTGTAGAAGGAGTCATATTCTACATACATATACGTCATATACTACATCCTAGGCATCCTAGACAAAACGTCCCAGACGCCAATTTTCATTCATATATTGAAGTTACTTCATAAATTATTTGGAAAATAGAAATAAAAATGAAACTTCTACATCTTGTATCTCCGAAAGTAGGCATTTTTTTGGACATACATTTATACGAACTATTTTATTTATTTTTATCTGCAGAACATGCTGCCGAAATTTCCGGAATACAGTTCGGACCACTCTGTATATTAAAAAACATCCTGTTACAAAAGACATGAAGAAAATGGGTCTGAGTAAATTGGAAACTGTGGTAACACTCTTATACCGGGTTATATCGGGTGGTGGCATAGTCGTTGGAAGCATAGGAAATTCTATGCAAATTTTGAGCTGTCCAAATATTGCCACCCTTATTAATTTTACAGCTAATTCGTAAATAGGTTTTTAAAGGTCTGCGTATGGCTGAATACACATGCCAAATTTGAACAATTTTGGACAAGCCGATTTTAAGTAATTTAATGAAAAACTGTGTCGTACATTACTGTTAACTATTTTTATTAGTAGACTTTAGTAGCACATACCTGCATACGTTACTGCATTTAATAAGCCCTTATCATCTAAAGAGAGTTCTAAATCACATTGAGCAGCCACAAACGTATATGACATAGTCGACGTATCAAATACCGTACATAAACTCGCTGGTATAGCCAATACGAAGAGCAACAAATTGAATTTTCCAAATTTGGTTTCGGCAATGGCCTCCTCGAATGTCGCAGGATCCAGCTCTGACACTACAGATTATTCAATGCTTTAAAACATTACTGCTTCAGACATGTCAACTAAATTGACATGTCTGAAGGAAAAGTACAGGGTGTCCCATTTTCGTGAATTTTATGGGGTTTCTTGTTGTTTATGAGTAGACATACAAACATGCAGTTTTTATGAAAGTAAAGATGCTATACAAAGATTTGGCAAAGCTTCCTTAGTTTCTGAAAAACAGGGCGAACTTGAAAATGTATATTTCGAATTTTTGCGGTTATATATTATAACTTTTCGAAAAGGTGAGAACTGAATCCCATAGAGTTTTTACGTAGAATCTAGTAGTAACTAATTTTTCGCTGGGATCTATAATTTTCAAAACCTGATTCAAACTTATGTTTTTTTTTTAAATGTAACATCTTGTATATTATTTTATTTTATTTACCTTTTTAAGTCGCTTTTCAAAAATATAATATGTTTAGAGATGGGCAAACACCCGGTATATTGTAATTTGGGTAAATACTCGATGTTTTATATTCGGTATATACCCAGTAGATATATACAGTGCATACACCCGGTATGTACACAAGTATCTTGTAATCTTGCTTATTTTACCCCACAAAGTCTGCACGATAGCACCACAACCTTAATTTTATCGAAAATACAGCACAACGCAGACAGTTCAATTTAGGTTAGGTGAATATTCGAATTTTACAACGGATTCCCCGACACTGACGAAATATTCTTTATTATACCTATTGGGTATTTACCCACCGCCTATTACTGAATATGTTCTATATTGGTTTTCATAAATGAGGTAAAAAAGAGTTATTTAACTTTTAACTTAAATCAATCTGGTTTAGAAGTGTTTATTTTTTTGTAAACTAATTTAACCAGATAATATTTCGATCGTGTTATCTTAATAATCTAAACTGAAAATAAACTTGTGCAGCTTTTAGGTAACAGCCGTCAATCAGAGTTATATATTTTTAATGCATTTATGCAATAATTTCAGACAAAGAAACTAAGATGGAATAACCACAAACCAAAATTTGACGTCGAATAACTTATTGCCGCCTGTGAAAACGTTAAGTAGAGCATTTTTTACCTTGCTTTTAAAATTAAGTATAAAGTATATTATATTTTTAAAAAGCTCATAACAAGGCAAATAAAATAAAAATAATATGCAGGGTATCCCTAACAAGTTACGCTATTGAATTCAACGTGAAAAACTCGTGGGACTCAGTTTTCACCTTTTCAGTATGTTGTAAGATACTCGATATACAAGGGAAGTCGAAAAAATTTAATTCGCCCTATATCTCAGAAAATAAGAAGCAAAAGACAAATCTGTGTACATACAGCAATTTTAGTTTCATAAAAAAGTAGGACAGTAATGTAAAAATCACACCTTTATAACTCTATACATAAAAGAAACACCCTGTAAAAAAACACGCAAATAAGACACTTATTTTGCAATGGGACACTTACCTCGTCTTGAGAGCGACTTAACATCACTAATAACACTAGCTTTTCTGCTGTCAATAAAATCTACTTCAGTCTCCATATTGAATATTGGGTTGTTCGATTTACCGACCTATTCATTTAAACACTGTGGCTATCATGGCCCATAATAAGGCAATTTTGTATAAGAAAAACTCATTTTAAGTGTTTAATTTTGGATTAAGTTGTTCACTTGAACGAAAACTAACATTCTTTCTTTAACAATTTAACAAAAGCCTAGCATGGCAAATATTTATATTTGGTTTAGCGTGTTACAGGGTGACTACATATTCGATTTTTCATTTAAGGTTTTTATTGCCATTTTTTTTTTAAATAGAGTGGTAACGCTGTAGCATTTAATTTATCATCATCATAATCATTTTCAGCTTATATAACAATTTCCAATTATATAGGGAACAAATTCCTTTGTTTCAGATAGGTATTTATTTTTTGTTACTTATAATTTTGGCTTATACTATTTGTTATTTTATTTGCTGCCGGAGCCAGTTTCATCTATTTTTTATATGTATTGGTACCCCCTTTCTAGATATGTTAAAGATACCCGGTAAAATAAAAGTCAGTATGTTATATTTATCAATCTATTAAGAAAAAAGTAGAAGAAGTAGTGTCAAAAATATTTCGAACCTCTCTTAACATAACAAATTAATACATTTCATTTTTTTTTTTCATTTTTTGGGTAGTTTATAGCTGGTTTATAGTATCATCAAATCAATAGCAATAAACCAGATAGAAACTTAATTAATATACCTATTTTACTTTTGTTTTAGGATTAAAACTGGACTTGAAAATGGTTGAGAGTCATGATTCTCGTAAAGTCTTTTTTGCTTGGATATTCACTTTGTTATTGCAATTATCATTGCATTAATGTGATTTAATAATCTTAAAATAAACTAATTTAAAAAAGTGCCAGAATGTCTGGGAATGGCTGCAATAACCAGGAAGCTCCACTTTTTTCGAAAATGAGATTTTTAATGCCCTTTAAAAGAATTGGCCGATTGTTTCCTGCAACAGTCACTTCTTCTGCATTTAAAATTTGTAGGTGGGTGGAATAAACACTGCTATTGTTTGTTATTATATTATAAAAATTATATTTATTTTTATGTATAAATAAATCTGTATGTTTATAAAACAGTACAATTTTTGCTTTTTTTATAATTTTCCTTATAATAGTAGTATTCTTTCGTTCTGCAAGAAACTGAAAATTTTCACTTAAACTGATTTATTCCCTACCCCACGTTCCCTTTACGTGGTATACTACTAATATTGGCTAATTTAAATTTCCCGCCAGCCAGAATATGCGATAATGTCTTACGATACGTTTTATACCTATCTCTTTCTTTTTTATATGAAGCACACATAATAAAAAAAGATAGCAATAAAAACGTACGTCCTGCCATGGTCCTGCTAATTGGTTTCAAAATTGTTATTCTGAGTTGCGCTACGGGAACGCGGTCCCACTCTTTACCGTGGAATTTGTCAGTCTCTTTTTATTTATTTTTCATAGCCATTGCTGACCCCGTTTTTTCGATCGTATTATAGTTGTAGTATGATAAAAAAACACGGCGACATCAAGCATCAAGTTGGCTTGTTTGTTTTATTTTTCTATCATACAGTATATACTATGCAATACAATGAATTTTAGTGTACCTATTGAAATAGTTTTGAAAAGGACACTATTAGAAAATATTTTTTATTAAAATAATATTTTTGTGTGTATATTTGACAGACCTTCAAATGTGGTAAAATTTGAGGCAAAACCGTTAACCGAAAGAAAATATTTAATTTAAAAAAAGAACAACCATCGTATAAACCATATTTAAGTCACCCTGTACATCTTTGAAAATATTTTTAAATGTGTTTTACAGCATACTTTTTAATATAAATTGGATTTAAAAAGTGAAATAGATAACCTGTTTTCGAACTTGGACACCCTGTAAATCAAAAGCATTTATATTACAAAAAAACTTCGATAAGTATGATGTGTAAAAATGTGATTTATTTTATTCTTTCTAAAAATACAAAAGTAAATAAATTAAAATAATTGCTTTTAAAACTAAATCCTAAAAAGACATCGTCACAGATAAAAAATTAAAGTAAAAAACATCACAATATGTCGTCACTTAAACCTAAAATTATTGTCTCTCTTCGTACAGGGGGTGTCAAACATTTTCCAGTTAATGGGAAAAATATTATATAATTAAGTATCGGAAAAAAGTTGAATAAATCAGCCATGTCTAGCAACAACAAATTTATTTTGGTATGTATCATACAAGTAAATGAAAAGTCACTGTGTAATTACATTTGAAAAACGTAGTATTGTATATCAAAATATTGAAGAAAAAAAAGTTTAGTATTTAGCTTTATGTATGCTAGCTAATTTTAAAAAATATACAGTTAGTTTCGAAAAATAATAATTTTTAGATCATGTCATGACTAATATTACTGACTAACTCAACATGTTTCTTTTAGATACTGGGTTTTTTTGAACTATCGGTAATACGTTTTTTTTCCTTTCCGTTTGGGAACTATTTTGACACACCCTGTATATCTACGTAGATCGAGAAAGATAAGAGCGCTTTCCAAATATTTATCGGACAAACACAGAGAGTGACAAGAGAAAATCTAAAAGGTAGAATACGTAAGGAACGCTACACTACGCTGCTACTGGATGGTGATGTAATCCTCGTTTCTCGGTATCGCCAGGCACAGGATTCCGCTGGCCATGAGCAGGAATCCGAATAAGTAAACCGGAATGATGCAGTTCATGTCAAGGAGGATGCCGAAGATTAGGTTGCCAAAGATGGCGCCTAAACGGCCGGAAGTTGCAGTTAGGGTGAGTGATAATGCCCTGGAAGAGAAGAATAATGTTATACAATATATTACAACAAATCAACTTAATATTTTGATTAGGTTTATTATTTGAGGTTAAATTTAGGCACCAGATAAGCAATACGTAACTGAAATCAAAGCACATCATTGTACTTCGTTCAGTTTACGTATTGCTACTCAGGGCAAAAACACGTACAAAATTTACCACAGAACTTCAATACGCCGACGACTGCGCTCTAGTTGCAAACACGGTACAACAATTACAAAGAAATGTTGAACACATATACCTGGGCATATACGAGGCTTTGGGCCTTAGGCTGAATGTCAGCAAAACTAAAATCATGTACACTCCCCGGAAGATCACAACAATGCTATAAAAATCGGAGAAGAATTATTATTCAATTATGTGGCGGAATTCAATTACCTTGGCAGTTTGATTTCGGAAAAGGCCAATATTGACTCTGAAATTCAGCACAGGATGAGCTGGCGCCTCAGAAGCATTCTGGGGGTAAAGACAGGGGTTTTCTACAATCATGACTTGAGTACAAAAACAAAACTTGCAGTATACCGAGCAATTATAATCCCCACCATGATATATGGGGGCGAAACCTGGGTGCCTTACCGCCGACACATGAACGCATTGAACAAGTTGCAACAGAGACACCTTGGACAACTCTTAAGAGTCCGGTGGTTCATCATGTCTCAAACGTATCGGTCCTTGAAAAATCTAACTGCGAGAGTATTGAAGTCATGGTCACAAAATCCCGCTTAAGATGGGCTGGTCACGTATGCAGAATGCAAAAACCGCATACCAAAATCTCTGTTTACGGTGAGCTTGTGGACGGTAAGAGGCCGGGTGGACAACTGAAAGATACAAGGACATTTTCACGAAATTTAAAGGAATTGTAACATGCAGAATGAGTGGGAAAAAGCGGCTCACAATAAGAACTCAATGGAGAAGGGGTTATACTCAGTTAACAGCGGCAACCAAAAGTAGAGAGCAACAAAGCAATGAGATTTGAATGTCCGGAGTGCGGTAGGCAGATAACATCACGTATCGGGCTTTTCAGTCACAGAAAAGCTCATGAAAGAAAACGCCTTGCGTGACCATTTTCTTTATGTGTGTCGAATACTCGTCAGCGAGTAACGGCTGTATGTATGTATGTTATACTTGCCAAGTATGCAATTATTGGTGTACTTGTACAAACATTTATTATTGGCATATAGTTGCCAAATCGTGCGTAAGCGATTTACTTGTGCAATTATTTGTCACTCGTCGCGCTGCGTGAGCGTCAAGCTTGTAGCAAAAAATGTTGTTTACAAAGATAGTATACTTGCCAAGTACGATGGCGCATTCTCACGACTCGTCTATTTGACAAACATTTGTAATTCGTAGATATACAGGGTATACATGATGCGTCGGGCATCTATGCAACATGTGGTGTATTTATTATAGAAAAATAAAAAAAAAAAAAAAAAAAAAAGAATTAATAAAAAATACTTGCAAGTACATGAGTTGTCAGAGCCCGCCCTAAGAATGTACTCCACTAGGATATTGTATGATCTCAAAAAAAAAAACTAAGATCACTAAATTCGTGAAAAATTACTTTAAAAAAAAAACTTTTATGCAAAAATTATGATAAATCATTTATTAAAGGGGTGATAAATAAGTAATCTTATAATAATATCCTCTACAGTTTGACAAATATAGGGAGAGACTTGGGGATAGCGCAGTCGCGCACATGATAGAGGGAGAACGCATTGGGCGGAAGAAAGATGCAGTTACGCTACGACAAATATGATTAAAGCAAATTTGTATGCTGTCCACTGCGCATCGAGGAAGCGTGCTCTTTTTTTATATTTCTCACGTCTCTAGCTATAAATATTTTAAGTTGTGCATCAGGTATATATCAAGAATTTATTATAAAAGTGAATTTAAATCTGACGATTGTTTTTAAAAAGAGAGCAAAATTCCCAGACAGGAACAGCTTTTCTAAGATGTTCAAACAAAATATTGATAAGTGTATTAAAAAATGTGCGTACTTCTTTATTGTTGGATTTTGATGGTATTATTTTTTTGTTCTCTGCTCAATGATTTTTTAAACGTACACGTTTCTTTAAAGGCTGTGTTAATAGTGGAATAAAAGTATTAGAACTTATGCAATTTAAATATGTCACGGCTTGCAAAATAAAACACTAGTTCACCACAATAATACATCAAAACACTTTGCTTTTAACACTAGATATGCAACCGAACTTGAATTGTGATCATCTGATCATCTGCTGATGATGTTAAAGTAAACTGTTTAGGTATATACAAATTAGCGCATCTCTCATACGACGCGTAGGCTCAAGAAGAACAGTAGTTTATATCAAAATGATTTTTTGTAATAAAATACAAATATATTTATTGATTTTCGGATTCTAGAAAAAATAAAAAGTGAGTTTATTAAGAAGCATATGCCTGAAATGTAAGGATTTTGACATATTTCACGCTTTGTGAAAATGAAGAATAAATTGCAAATTTCAATAACAGCTACCTAAATTTGAATTTACCCTGTATAGCCTCATATTTAATTACAATAACCATAGTATGTTAAGCTAATTAAAATTTAACCCGGAAACCTATACAGGGTGAGACAAAATTAAGATGGAACATTGATCGCTTTTAAAAGCAAGTTACTAATTTATTTTAAATGGAAACACCCAGTATATTATTCCCGGTATTTAATGGGAGAATTTATATATCTTCAAATATTAGGTTGCCTACCCCTCAGACAAATATTTTCCTGGATATTTCAATTTTTATGATTTTGCGTCAGTATCCCAGATAGCACATTTACGTTCTTTTCATATGCGAAGCAAGTGACTATGGAGAACAACAATGTTCTATTCACATTCCTTTTTTTCATTGGGAACATATATGGCACATGAATAGCAGAGATTACGTTCCACCCTATTCAAGTGATATGGAAGTGCGTTTTACATTCCAAGATATATTGTATGAACGTTGTTTTCTATATCTGGCTTAAACTTTGACGTTTGTAAAAAATGCCACCTGAATATAATTATCTTACTGTTATAATCTTACCTTAAACTAGTGGGGAAAAAGTCTACTATCACACAAAATAGTACTGCTTCTAAAATACTGGTCAACGCTTCAAAGAAGCACGAGAGTATCAAAACTTGAATGCTGTTCGTTACCCAGTTTAGTGAAATCGTCACTATACCTGAACAAACCAGACAAAAAACTGCAAATAAGAAAATCACATTATATATAGTAGTATGAAGTTATTATTTTTTTCTAATAGCTTATATATTTTTCTAATTCTCTTTGAGTTTTCAATAGTAAAGAGAATAAAATATCTATAGAAAGTATATTAAAAAGTGACTCACTAATACTACTTTTTCCTAACTTCATAAGCAAATAACTTAGGATACTTGAGTAGGAATGCAGCTTCAAGGTATATAAAGTAACGTTGAAAACACTTTGTTCTCAATGAATGGATCGCATTCACTGTCGTGATGTTTACTGGGCTGAATATGAGTTTGTGATATCGCACATACTCCTCTCGTGTTATTGGAATGTTTCATTCCAATACTGTCAAAACGTTCAAAAATCTCAGGGAACCATAATACCAATGTGTAGTAGCTAAAAAAATATAATTAAAGATATAGTTAAATTTCATTATTTAGTTATCAACACAACCAAATTGGAACTTTGATTTTGATTTTGGTCATTATACAGGGTGAGTTTCTACGATGTTCTCTAAGTATCTTGGAAACTACTGGAGATAGAAAATCGGTTAAATGGGGAAAAATTGCAGTTTTTGTGGGATCATAATTATGCGCCTTTCAGTATCATTTTTTTAAATACCTATCTTTTCAATAGAAAAGTACTGAGTTATAATAGCTAATTCTTATCATTTATAAACAATTTCACTTGGTTAGCCATGGATACAAGTTCAATCGCCGTTGCTCTCAGAAATATGAAGCTGTCACATCAAACTTTGTAAATTAAAATAAAAAATTGTAAATATGAATGAATTCAAATGAAGAAAAGCGTGTTCATCAATAGAGTGGTTTCATGCATCAATAAAGTGGTTTCAACATGACTTTCATTATGACTTCCCCCACCCCCTCCATAATTAAAAAGAGATGTGAAAATTATTTATATCATAATTCCTTCAAGCTTGCTGGATAGGAAGAGGTGGACCAATTGCATGGTTAGGCCTCCTCGATCACCTGACCTACCCATTTTAGAATTTTTTATGCGGTATAGTTAACAATAAGGTTTACAAAAGAACTTATAAATTAGGAGAGGCATTCGAAGTGGCAGTACGAGAGAAGTTTAATTAAGTCAACCGCTCCTTCTGTGAGAATAGGTAGTAATTCAGTTTTAAAAATATGTAATTCAAAACAATAGCGGATTTTTTTTAACATTTTCTAAAATATATTGAAGTAATGCTTTTAAAGTGTATATAGTGATATTATTTTTTTAGGTTTTGGTTTGTGCAATGTAAATTGTAAAGAACCGTTTAATAATATATTCTGACTTTTTATAAGTTATAAATCATAACAGAATAAGAATACCATGCAATCTAAGTGAAATTAGTCAAGAAAGATAAGAACTGGCTATAACTAAACTTAACTTTTCTAACATGTCTTGAAAACCGTTCTCTAAAAAACGTAACATTCACCCGTCAACGTATCCTCGAAAATGTAGTCAACAAAAATTGAACCAATAATCCTACACGCTTTTCTTCATTTGAAATAATCATATTTACAATTTTTGTTTATTTTAATTTACAAAGTTTAGATGTGACAGCTTCACACTTATGAGAGCAAAGACGATTAAACTTTCCATGGCTAACTAAGTAAAATTGTTTAAAAATGATAAGTTTGGCTATAACTCAGTAATTTTTCGAAGAAAACATATTACATCTTATATCGCTGAAAAGCTTAAAAAATGGCGCTTTTTATGAAGTCATGGTCAACTATGGTTTCCATTTAAAAAAACATATGTTTGTGTTATATGTCAAAAATGACAGGTTTTAGAATAAAAACGGAGGACACGGTCTCATTAAGGATGTGATTATCTACAACTTTTATCTGAAAACTTTTTGTCTAAAATAGCTTATAATGGAATTAGGCACAATTTTTAAAATAGCCAAAATTTTTTTTTTTCGAAATATCTAGTAAGCCATGAACTTTTTAACTCCACAAAACTGCAATTCTTTCTCCATTTAACCGACTCTCTATCTCCAGTAGTTTCCGAGATACCCATAGAGAACATCGTAGGAAACTCACCCTGTATTATACTGATTTTAATCTCTGAAAAATCTTCTATTCAAATTATTCTTGAATTCTTCATTATAAAAATATCTAAAGAAGTGTAAATTACTATATAATAATTATTTTAAGTGTTTTAACAGTAAATTATTTATCTTAGTATAATAAAAGAAACACTTTTTTCATTAAAACATTATTTACCTGGCCATTAAACCAAAGTCAGCAAAGCAAGTAATACCCAAATATCGTAAATACTGATGGCTTCTCAGAGTTTCAATCAAATCGTGCAATTTGGAAAGACTGTCTTTCCAGAAATTCTTCTTTTCGTTTTTATGCTTTTGTTCCATCTTATTGTTGTTGTCTTCTTCTTGCAAATGATGAACCTGAAACCACGATTGAAAAAATATCAGTGCATATAAAATATCAGCAGTATATACAGGGTGAGTTGTCTATAAAATAGAATTACTTATAGCAATTTCCGAAAGATTTCGAACTATTTTCTATATTGAACGAGTTTTTTTTAATTCACACATCCTTGATTTTTCAACAAAAAAATGTCAAAGCACAGAAAATATTTGCCTTCCGGCAAATATTTCTTTTTGGGATGCTTTTTCTTTAAACAATTACTTTCTCAGGTGGTATTACATTGTCACATTGTCAAGGTCAGAATTCCATTTTTTTAATAATAGAAGACTTAAAAACCTCAGACGAAAAATATTACGTTAATTATATAATTACTTAATCTCTAAATAACATATTAATCTATTGTTTTCTGAAAGATTAAACATGCATTAGATATATTAATTATTAAATAAAAAAATTATACAATTTAAATATTTGAAAAAAATTAAAAATAAGTTTGGAGTATGTAGAATTTATTTTACAGAACCTGTAGAGATTAATAAAAGAGTTTGAAAATTTAGAAACATACCAGCTTTTGCCGAAAAAATGGGCCCAAATGGCTGAAAAATCAGTTTTTCGCAAATATCTGCCAAGATATGCAATTTACAATTACAATTATAATAAAAAAAATATTCGTGGGTGGATAATATTTCAGACCAAATGGTGAAGGTACCTAAACCATTATATCCTGGAAAATGGACAAGAACAATATACTCTGAAAGAGTTGCAAGATATTGCAGGTAATTTTGAACTGTTATCATTGATTTCTAGCTCCTCTCCTCATTGATGTTTGTTACTTATAAAGCTATTATTGCAATTTTCTTTTGTTTGCGACATTTTCCGGAAATCCCCAAAAAGTGGAAATAGTCACTCACAAATAGTTGTTTTTTTTTAATAAAATATGATCAAACTAATACTTCAAACTTTCTGAGTTGCTTAAAGATACTTACTCTAGGAACAACTGTTAAAAAATCATGACAAATAAGCTATTATTAGTGAAAATATGAATAAGTTTGTAAAAATCTGAAAATTTTTCGGGTAAGGAATGTTTGCCCGGGTTTTTTATCATAAAATATGACAAAATTCAAACAAGTTCCAAAATGTGATAACTCTTGCCTCTTTAAATGAAATTTGAATCATCAAAAAATATTAAATTTTAGCCAGTTATTAAACAATTCGCCCTATCAATCAATTATACGCTTATAAAATCTATCTTCGGAGCCGTTCAGACCTGGGGAGAAAATTCAAGGATCTACGAGGCGGAATATCTCGAAAGTAGTTTCCGAGATATTCCGCCTCTACGTAACTAACTCTAAAATTCTACGTAAAAAAATTATAAGGATAATTTTTGTAGATCATTACCTAGGCATGATTTTTTATTCCAAAAAAAAATTTGTAAATTGTATATTTTGGCAAAAATTTACGAAAAACTGATTTTTCGGCCATTTGGGGCCATTTTTTAGGCCAATGCTACTCTCCAAATGATACACAATCCGCCTAAAAAGTCAAGGTGGGCAGATTACGACAAGATTTGGGTCTTTTCTTGTCCTTATTTACCGGACTATGAATGGTTTTGTAAGAAATAAAATGTATTAAAGCCTGCCTGGATATTAATTTATGATTGTTTTCTAGCGATTCTGAAATATACACACATAGCCAAAATTATTGCATATATCGTTTAATTTATACATAGTTATGTATAAAAATAATCTGCAATAAACATTTTTTTGTTAAAATGGATATGATAAATACCGTTTATCGTTAGACTCAATATTATTACAAATTCTTGCACATTTCGATTTGTGGTAAATTTAATAATTGTTTTGGCCTTAAAATGCCTAGAAACATTATTTCACAGTTTAATAGAGTCAGAATAGTAACACTGTCTCAACAGGGCTACCGGCAAGTTGTAATAGCTGAAATTGTAGGAGTTAACCAAAGCGATGTTTCGCGAATATTAAAAAAAATCAGGGAGACAAACGAGGTTACAGACCGGCCTGGAAGAGGTAGAAAGAGAGTCACTACTGCTGTGCAAGACCGTCAAATATCCGTAATTGCACGACGCAATCCCCTGCTTGTTAGTACTGCTATTAAAAATGAGCTAGCTCGCCTTGAAGGAGTAAATGTTTCAAGAAAGATCATAGCAAGAAGACCCCATGACAGAGGATTACATTTAAGGAGGCCTCTACGTGTTCCAAAGCTTAATTTGCAGCACAAAATTACGCGACTACAATGCGCTGAGAAGATGAGATCAAATGGACCTAATTGGAATTTCGTTATATTTAGTGATGAAACAAGAATAGACCTAGTGTCAGACTCGCCACGAACTTTGGTCTGGAGAGCATTTGGCAGACGAGCACGCTTGAATGCAGCTCATCCCCGTGTCCCGTTTCAAGGGGGAAGCATATTGTATGAGCAGGTATAGTGCACGGAGTTCGAACTCCTCTTGTTTTTATTGATGGCACAATGATAGGTGCCTCATATCTTAGAGACGTTTTAGAGCCTATTGTGCGTCCATTTCGAAGGGAAGTGGGGGATGAATTTGTTTACATGGACGATAATGCTCCTCCCCATCGCACTTTAGCCATTTGCGAATTTTGTGAGGAACAGGGTATAAGAAAACTGTGGTGGCCAAACTGTGGACTTCAGATATGAATGTGATCGAGCATGCTTGGGACATGCTAAAACGCCATATTGCCAAAAGGAATGATCCCCACCGTAACATGGGAAGACATTCCTCAACATCTTCTGGACAACTTAATTGAGAGCATGCCACGTCGTCTCACAGTTTGCATTGAGGCTCGAAGAGGCTATACAGAATATATTAGTTGTGAGGAATAATTAAAAAAAATTTAATATTTTCTGTTTAAAATGAAATTTTTTTTGTTGATTTTCACTCATTATGATATTTACCAGAACACCAAATCAAAATACTCAACTGATCGTAAACCATCAGATAATAGAGCGAGTCTATAAATATAAATATCTAGGAACCCTGATCAACGACGACAATGATTACTCATCAAAATTAAAAACGAGTATTGAAATAGCACGTAACACCTTTATTAAAATGAAGCAATTCTTTTTTTGCAAAACTTTAAGTAACCACCTTAAAATACGAATGCTAAGATGCTACATATTTACAATAATGCTCTATGGTATAGAGGCTGCCACTCTAACAAAACAAATGCTTAAAAAGATAGATGCCTTCGAGATGTGGCTTTACAGAAGGGTACTCCGGATATCATACGTTGACAGAATTACCAATGAAGAAGTCTTATGAAGAGTCTCAAAAGATTGAGAATTGTCCCAAGAGGTGAAAATCAGAAAACTCCAATATATGGGCCACGTAATGAGAGGTCCAAGATACAAGCTTCTACAACTAATTATCCAGAGTAAAATAATAGGGAAGAGAAACATAAGAAGAAGACGGATGTCGTGGCTTCGAAATCTCGGAGAATGGTTCAACTGTACATCAAACGACCTCTTCAGGGCAGCAGTCAACAAAATAAAATTAGTCATGATGGTCGCCAACCTTCGCAAGAAGGCGGCACCTTAAGAAGAAGAAGAAGACTCATTATGAAATAAAATTATAATAACAGCCTCTAATTGCACTTAGATTTTTAATTTTATATTAGTTAGTCGCGTAGTAAGCTAATATGCCCAAAAATATAAAAAGAATCATATTAGGTCCAAAATAAAATAAAAATATCGTTATATGCAATAATTTTGGCCATGTGTGTAATATAGTTAACGCTGAATCTCAATAAAGAACATTGAAGTTCAAAAACTATACAAATTGTAAATTTTTCGATACACAATAACGAAGAGACTGAAATTTAAGAATTTCTTGGATTTATACCTACAGAGTGAGTCTTAAATAAGTACAAATATTTTCCGATCTGGTAGATCTCGATAAAAGAAAAATATTCTCTCTTTACCGTTTTTCAAGTAAGTCCAAAATAACCTAGATATTTTATTTTTTTTTAAATAAAAAAAAATATTTTTGCTTAAATTTTGAGAACCACTAGATCTTTTCTGGGTTTTCTTTCTTAAAATTTTAATCTACTACCTATGTTGCCATATTATGAAAATATTATGTATTATAACTAAAATCTTAAAAAAAATCCAAAAAAAAATTTTTTTCCCGAAAAAAACCCTCAGAGACATGTTTCTGGGGTCGAAATATACTACACTTAAAAATATTTGCACTTATTTAAGACTCACACTGTGAGTGTAACAGTTTCTTTGGAAATTTCAACATCACAACGCAATATTACACCATAGTACAACATCCCTATCATTTACTTTATTAATATTTTTGCTTTGGTAACGGTTGTTTGTACTAAATAATGTTAGTTTATTTAATGATAAATAGTCGCGAACAGTTGAATATATCTTGAATTGTTACTTGACTGGACTGACAGACTATATTTGCAAATTGGTGTAATTGTGTAAAATAAATAATTTTACAATAAATAGTAACTCTTTTAGTGGTGGATACTCAATTTTTAGTTTTAGTATTGCATTAATTCTATGAGTCTTGATAAACATATGAATAAATATCCTCAAAAATTTAACTCCCCCCTCCCACTCCCATATATTACTTTTTATATATTATTATTGGTACTAATACTTTTAACTGCATAACTTTATAAGTGTTGACCTTTCAATTTAGAGCAATGGATAATTTGTTCGTTTTTTAACAATCTAGTTATTATTTTCAAAATGTCTTACTGGAAAATTATCTCCATCATCTCCTGTATTAAAAGTATAAATCTTCTGAAACACTAGCCTGGCTTTTTCGTACATTTTCTTTGATATAAGGTACTTTGGCGTTTCTGGTAGGAAATACAGGAGAACTGCACTAAAAAGACTGGGCAGACTGCATATCAATACAAAGGTCCTCCATGGACTAAAACTACCTCCATCTTCTATTATTTCTATGGTCTTTTTACCCAGTAAAGACCATGCAACTCCTGAAATATAAAGACATTAAATAACAGATATTTTTAATGTAATATTTTTCATTTTTGATAAAACTAAGAACACCTTATAATAGATAAAATTATAAATTTGAAGTGCTAATTGACTCAGTTTATAAACTTAAAGTTGCATCAATACATATTATAGGTATAAAATTGGATATTTATATGGACTTTTTTGAAGAGATGAATCCGATACAGAGGTAATGACATATTTTATATTATAGATAGTAACAAATTAAGAATACTTTTTAAATATAATAAGCTCGATAATAAGTATCCAGATATTTAACAGATACCAAATAGCGTTTGTACCTGTACAGGGTGAGTCAACGATAGAGTAAAGTCCATTATCTCATTTGTTTCAAGGTTTACAAAAAAATGTTTAATATAAAAGTTATAGGGATGGTTAAGATACACATTTTATAATTATTATAGAGTACACAAGGTGCTTCAAAAAAGTGTGGCGGCTATAACATATGTTTTTTTTTAAATACAACACCCCTTTTTTAAATACAACACCCCATTTTTTATTTTATTTTTAGATTCTGCCTAAAATTCCATAACTTTTTTATATACAGGGTGTTTCAAAACAAATGCGAAAAACTTCAGGGGGTGATTCCTTGTTCAAAATAAAGGGTAGTTTGCTTTATAAACGTTTATAAACGTTGGGTCAAAAGTCAACCATTAGGGAGATATCGCGGTACAAAGATGGCGGAAAAATAATGTTTTTATTTTTTATCTTGAAAATGAAAAACGATAGACTAATGAAATTTTATGGAAGCATTACTGTTGTGAAAACATACTTTCTGGTAATTTTCTCACTTTTTTAAAATGAGTGGAAGGGGTTGAAATAAACTACCCTTATCATTCTTGTTAACGAAATTTAAAAAATCTTATCAAACACATGCAAAAAAAAATTAATTTGGATAGCTTGGTTTATTTAAAACTTTTTATCTCTTGTGTTTCTTTGATAAAACTAGCCGATTTGAAATTGAAAAATAAAATGTAAAGCATTACATGTCAGGGTAAAAAACATTTTTAGATAAAGAATCTAATGATAATAACGCTAATAATAAGAATCTAGATAATAACGTATTACAGTAGAGTAATGTCAATAAAATAATATTAGCAACGTCCTAAAAAGTGACACGGGGTGACTAGATTTTTTCCAAAAAAAATTAGAGCAGCCCACTAGATTCTTTATCTAAAAATGTCTTTTGTCCTGATATGTAATGCTTTACATTTTATTTTTTAATTTCAAATCGGTGAGTTTATCAAAAAAACACAAGAGATAAAAAAGTTTCTAAACAAACCAAGCTATCCAAATTTATTTTTTTGCATATGTTTGATAAGATTTTTCTTTAAATTTCGATAACAAGAATGATAGGTGTAGTTTATTTCAACCCCTTCCACTCATTTTAAAAAAGTGAAAAAATTACCAGAAAGTGTGTTTTCATAACAGCAATACTTCCATAAAATTTCATTAATCTATCTCTTTTCTTTTTCAAGATAAAAAATAAAAACCTTATTTTTCCGCCATCTTTGTACCGCGATATCTCCCTAATGGTTGACTTTTGACCCAACGTTTATGAAGCAAACTACCCTTTATTTTGAACAAGGAATCGCCCCCTGAAGTTTTTCGCATTTGTTTTGAAACACTCTGTATAATGTTATATACCTAAAATTAATAGTTTTTGTAATATTTCAATTTATTTAAACAAATGTTTAATTGCAGTGTGGTAAAAAATCAGTCAGTGGTGCTATTGTTTCTGATGTGGGAGTACCAAAATTTGGTAGGAGAGTTTTATAGAGATGAAAAAAAAAGATATATATAAAGATATTTTAGTTAAATGATACAGGGTGTTCAAAATATTTTTCTGAATTTCAACTACTTAAAATTAAAAAATTTCAATTTTTTTAAATGGGACACCCTATATATTATCATTTTTTCTGATAGATTTTACAAAACTCTTCAACTTTTATTAAGTATGTCATATACCTATTCTTAATAGTTTGCGATTTATTCCAATTTTTTTTATTTTTATCCATATTTTTAATACAATTACCCTATAGAATCATAGTTGCCATGACAAAACAAAACTATTTATTACCTATCTTTAACAAGTAGCTTCATAATTAGTTACAATTCCTGGTATTAGTTAAACTTAATTAACTTTACTCAAATAGACTAAATCGCAGTAGTGAATTTCTTGTGTATTTCTATATTATGATAAATGACATTTGGGATTTTTCGTCGAGGCGAATAGCCACAGATTAGCGTAATACTAGATTACCTAATTGCTAAAGACTACTGATATAGGAATTTTCTTCGACATCAGTAAAGTTTTTTCTCGTAGTAATTCTGGTTTATAAATTTGGTAAAGCCAATTTACTACTGCCGCGAAACCGTCCCATTACACACTGAAGATGTTTTCTAGATAATATACATCTATTCTTATAGTAGTTAGCAAAGTACTATATAATATATAGTAGTGAACCAAAAAATGTGGTTTTCTAGGCTTGTCCGTGTATATCAGTCACATTGACTAATTCATTTGAAGAAAATCTGTAACTATTATCTCTACCATTTATACTTATTACAACAAATTAAACTGAAATTCAAATTTTGTTCTTAACTTGCTTAACGGACATGAAATTGTGATAATTATTACTTTTTGTCATGGCAACTATGTTATAGCGCAATTGCATTAAAAATATGGGTAAAAATAGAAAAAACTGGAATAAATCGCGAACTAATAAAAATAGGTATATGACATACTTAATAAAAGTTGAAGAGTTTGTAAAATCTATCAGAAAAAATGATAATATATAGGGTGTACCATTGAAGAAAAATTGAAATTTCTTAATTTTAAGTAGTTGAAATTCATAAATATATTTTGCACACCCTGTAGTATTTAACTGAAATATCTTAAGATATATCTTCTTTTTAATCTTTATAGAACTATCATACCAAGTTTTGGTATTCCAACTTCAGAAACAATGGTACTACTGGCAATTTTTTACCACACTGCAATTTAACATTTGTTTAAACAAATTTAAATATTTCAAAAACTGTTAATTTTAGGTATATAACATTATATATAAAAAAGTTGTAAAATTTTACGCAGAATCTAAAAATAAAATAAAAAATAGGGTGTTGCCTTTAAAAAAACATATGTTATATTCGCCACACTTTTTGAAGCATCCTGTATACTCTGTAATAATTTTAAAATGTGTATCTTAACCTTCCCTATAACTTTTATATTAAACATTTTTTTGTAAACCTCGAAACAAATGAGATAATGGATTTTACTCTATCGTTGACTCACCCTGTACAAAGAGAAGATACAATGGGTCTATCATTTTAATTCATAGATAAATTGTATTTTCTGTAATCTTTCGTTTAAAAAAAAATACTGTTTAAATTTATTGCTGATTTATTTTAGGTAAATGAAGGATATATTAAATTTATTAGATTTTTTTAAATTGAAATTTTCCTTTTAATTTCTGGACCCTGAAATGATTTTTATCATTTAAGATTTCGACGATAATGATCTTATCCTCGTTACATTTCTGCCGCCAAATTTTAAGAAGGTAACGTGTAAGTATATATTTACCTGGCAGGATTATTATTCCAATGTTCCAGAAAATTTCCAGTTTTCCTAATATCCTGTCTCTGTCTTTAATGGAGATAAACTCTCCAAGATATGAGAATATAATACTGGTTGCACCAATAATCCTGAAAATACAAATTATGAGTATGTTATACGTATGTTTGATAAAATAAATAGAAGCATGTTTAAAAAAACTCTTGGACACATTCTTTTATATTTTTAGTTTGCAAACATAGTCAACATTTTTATATAGTTTGAATCATGTAAAAAATGTTATATTTAATGCAAGACCTTCTATATTTTAATTTTATCGATGTACTTAAACAGCCGTTAAACGGTAGCCTACTAAAATGCCGTTAATAGATATTGTGACGTCGTTCATGTCGGCGGAAAGTAATGCCTAGCCTTAAGCATTTTGCAAGAGCACCCGTGGGTCAGTGGCTGAGGCGATCACTTCGTAAGCGATGGTCCGTGGTTCAAATCTCACGCCGACCAAGACTTTTTTATTTTTTTTTTGCTTATAGCATGATCTTATTGATTGGTTTCACTCTTTTTGGTTGGCTTGGTTTAGTTATTTGGCGGGTTGGTTAGCGTGGTTATTTGGAGGGTGTTAATTGATTGGTTAGTTGGTTATTTGGTGGGGTTGGTTGATTTTTACTAATTTATATTTGTTTTTTATATTTTTTATCAGTGTCGAGGTTAGTTGCGTTGGTTAAGTTGGCATTTGGTGGGGTGGATAGCGTTGGTTAGTCCTTATAAAATTCCTATATTTCATAAAGCCGTCAAGTGCGTCACATCAACGACGTCATACCTATTAACGGCATTTCAGTAAGCTACCGTTTAACGGCAGTTTAAGTACAGCCTAATTTTATTGATTAATCATTCCGCCAACTGAACGTCAAACTTGAAAAATCTACATCTGCTAGTTTACTTTATAATAAGATCAGGTCTCGTTTGAGTGACGATAATCTGGACGCACATTTATTTCAGAGATCTTATTACAGACAGGAAGAATCTCTTCTAAATAAGTAGTAATGCTATTTCTTATTGTGCTTACTTTTTTTCTCTTTTAGCTTGTATAATATTTATTAGCAATTATTAGTTTAAACATGTAATTTTTTATTTAATATAATGCTGTTCAATGTATTAGTTATCTTCAACTTTAAATAAAAAAATATAAGATTTTTCAAATTTGGTTAAGTTGGTTTAGGTGAATTTGAAAACAGCCTCTACACTACCCCCAAATGTTTTACGAAATATTTCTGGAAATATTCCGGAAATATTTCGAAATATTTCGCAAATTTAGGTCGGGTGCTGGTGATACGACCAGTGACGTCGCTTTCCTATTAAAAGCGACGTCGTTGAAATCCGATTTTTATTAATTTCTCAACGTCGTTCCTACGTTGGCTTACACGACGTATATACCGTTGTCCGAATAGGATACGTCTCTCACTGATAATCCCTAAAGTAACGTCCAATTATATTTTGTTGTATTTTATGTTCATATTTATAACCTAATTTACGTATCTCTACGTCCGTAAATACAACCCATTAAGTAGCATTTGCGGCCTAATGAACATCATGAACATAACCTAATAAAAAGTTTTTGTAAACTTAATTTCTTTTTTAGCTTAGGAAACCAGCAGACTGGTTCCAATTCTTTTAAATTTTGTATACTATCTTAAAAAAGTGGCTGCCCACTTTTTTTAAGGAGAAAACAAAAACTAAAATATAATTGCACAAATCCACAAATCACTGATACGCAAACATTTTTTGACAACAAACAATTGACCTATCATAGACAACGTCGGGAATCGTTTACCAGGAATACGAAAAATTATATGCTCTGTGGCCGACGACAGATGCTCCTACGTATGCCGGCCGATCGCAAATTTTACATGGCGCACGTTGGAATTATATACGTCATAATACGATTGCCGGTCGTCCGGTTTGATGATTTCGGACGTGTGAGACGTGAGACGACTGATGTTGGAGACCCGGTCGGAATTGGTATATTGGTAGTTCATAATATTAAGTCGGACACAGAAATCCGCCATTCTTTACAAGTATCCGATTGTCAGCCATTTTAAAATCGTTTTTTGTTTTTAAAATTTACATTCACATTCCGATTTCTAGTAGAATAATATTGATAAGGTTGAGTTTGGGGGGAACCACAGTACAGTTTTATGATTAAACCAGTTAGAAAATAAAAAAAAAATATTTTGCGAGTTACTCTTTTATAGATATTTTTATTTCATAAATCTACCTAATTTTGAAGGCGCTCGTTGTTTTCCGGAGTATTATGGGGCTTTAAAGTTGTATGAAAATTAAATCTACTTACCCAAATCCGTTGAAAAATCTACAAGCCAAAAACAAATTAAAATCGGTTACGAACGATGATATCAATCCAGACAAAAAATCCAATAGCAATGATAATATTATTGCTACTTTTCTGCCATGTGAATCAGCCAGAGAGCCCCACAAGCAACAGCCAAACAACATTCCTAAAAATAACAACACATCGTTTACTTAATTATGTTTATATTATAATTCTTGTTTTAATTTCAATATTGATTATAGTTATCTTTTTTTTTAACATTAAAGTAAATAATAATATTATTTATCTATGTATATATTTGTTAATTCTTGCATTTGATTCTTTTACACGTTAATATCAAATTTAATAACATTGCTTTGATATATCTCCAAAACAAAATTAATTATTTGGGTGTTACGTATACTATATTAATTACATAATTTATTCGTTTATTTTTACACCGGGTGTTTTTTTAAAAGTGTACCCCTATAATTTTATTTTTATTTTTTGAAACAAAAATTGGTATGTTATTATATGAAATAAATCAGGATTTGGTTATTAGTTCACCTAGTTCAGCGGAAATAACTATTCCTTTTGATTTTTAAATGGTACCCTCAAAATTCTTTTATTTTGTTGCACAGAAAAAGACATTCATTGTATTCTGAATAGAATGACATCTCATAAATATGTCAACTTTTGACATTCTTGCTTAATGGCCCCTCTACACGTTGGCTAATGTGTTCGCCAGTTGGCCAATACGTTGGCACATGTATTTTCCAGGCCCCTCTACACATTGGCCAGTGCGTTGGCATGGCGTTAGCTGATACGTTGGCACACGTATTTGCCAAGGAAATGAAAATCTGTCAACATGACGTTTAGTTTGTCTCGACGCCAAGATAAAAAATGGATATCCGGACGGTAGCGACTACGACAATTTATTTAGTCAGTGCTTATAAGTACTATCTTAGTGTGTACCATGTGTGTACCATTACCGAGTTATAAAAAAATTGATGCAGTTTAATACCGAAATCAAAAGGTTTTTTAGAATGATATCGTTGGGTCAGTGAATTGGTTGACGCGCTCTGGATCCAATGGTCGCGAGTTCAATTCCCACCAGATGTACTTTTTTTAAGTTCTGATTAATTTGCTTTTCGTCTTTTTTTTTTCGTGATTATTTTCTTTTTCAATTTTAATTCGAATTGGATTGATTTAAAATTTTTGGATTTTAAAATTAAATGACTCACAGACAGCCGTTGTATTGATCAGTATCGGTAGTGAGCAACAAGACAAAAAAAGAATTCTTGTGGTTTGATTGGTCAGGATTATTCGTGATTTTGCCACTTATAAAATGTCAAATATTAGACATTATTAAATACAGGGTGTCAGTGGTGTAACTAGAAATTTTTGGCTTCCACATAACTTTCGGCGATTGGGCCCTTAGCCTCATTGAGTCCTAGCCCCATATCTTAAATTTTAATCATAGAACTACTACGTATTTTTAGAATCAAAATAAGTTCATTGGACACAATTTACCTCTATAAAAGGTGCTTCGTTTATCAATTAGAGGGCATCAAACTTTAAACAAAGAAACACATTTTTTCAGATATTTTAAGAATTTCCGTTATTCTTATTTCAAACTAAATTTGGTGTTTGTATGTTTTGCTGATTATTAGGCGTAAATTTTTATTTGATCGTCAAAATACCATGAAAAGTCTTGTCTTCGAGCCCCATCTACATTCTGAGTTTCGGCCCCCTAGCTCACATAGGGCCCGAGTTACGATGCTCTAAGATCAAAAAGTCAAAGTTACCACTTTTGCTCCCGCATCTCGTCTGGCGACACGTCTCGGCCCTGTTCCGGCCTTCAGTTTTTACTCCCAACGCGTGTAAAGAAGTTTCACTTTAAAAATTCTCCAATTTTTTTTTCTCAAAATCTAGGCGGTGTGGCTTTTTTTTACAAAGGGACAAAAAATTTAGTAAATACTATGAGGTCCATTTTACGGAAAAAAGCCGTCAGTAAAATTGTAAAATATTTTTATTAAAATGATTTAAGTAGAGGTGGGGGTAGTTTAACCTTTCCCGTACTTTTTCACATTTTTTGTGATGGGCAAATGTTAAAACACTTAGCAACATAGAAACACCAAATCTAGTTTAAATCGGAATATCGGTTCTTAAATAATCTCCTTGATGCCCTCTAACTGACAAACAAAGCACTTTTGTATAGAGGTAAATTGTATCCAATGAACTTATCTTGACTCCAAAAAATAAGTAGTAGTTCTATATCCTGGAAATATTGAGACACCCCGTATACACACAGAAAAACATCACCGATCAATACCAACTCCCTTTGATGTGTCTTGAAAAAACCGACAACAGATGGATCGGTTGCCAATGCTTGGACCAACTCGGCCAGGGCCGCCAACACGACCAATGGTCCCCTCTACACGTTGTCCCAACGGATTGGCCAGCGTATTGGCCAACGCACTGGCCAACACATTGGCCAACGTGTAGAGGGGTCATTTTTAAGGTGTCTTGAAAAAACCATGGCAAACGGATTGGTCGCCAATGCTTGGGCCAACTCGGCCAGTTTAGCCAACACGACCAATAGTCCCCTCTACACGTTGGCCCAACGCGCTGGCCAGCGTATTGGCACATGCATTGGCCAACGTGTAGAGGGGCTATAAAGAAAATCGTATTTTAAACTTCAATCTAGAGTGTCAAGGCTATGTTAAATAATGTTTTTTTACGAATATGTTAATAAGCCACACTTATTCCATTTGGGCATCTTTTAATCGGTCAGGAAAAGTCACAAGAAACGTTAGACGATCAAATCTATTTTTTAAATGCTTCTTAATCACAAATTAGTGGTTTTATCATCAGCCACTCCCAGATTGAATTTTAAAATACTTCATTTTTTTAAGCGGAGGCGTCAAAAGTTGACATACGATATGTCATTCTATTCAGCATGATATCTATGAAATAAAGTAAAGAAACACAGAGGGTACCATTTAAATTAATATAAAAAGGTTTTTATATTAAATCTAATTTAATATAAAAATAAAAATATTTGTACAGGGTGGCGATGGCGCCTCTAATACGCTGCGGAAGCTCCAAGGAGAAGGTAGTTCATATCGAAATGAAATTTTGGCAGCATATTATATAGATTAACTGAAAGCATTTTATAAAAATATATTGAATTATACAGAGTGTCCCCAAAAAAGTTACACATCAAAGTTGTGTTTTTTCTAATGGAACACCCTATATATTAATTGATTGTCGGATTCTACGAAAAAAAAGGTGAGTTTTATTAAAGAAGTATATACCTAAAATCTAAGGATTTTGACATATTTCACATTTTGTGAAAATGAGTAAATTTTAAATTTCGATAACAGCTACCTAAATTTTAGTTGACCTTGTATAGTCTAATATAACAGTAACCATTGTATGTTAAACCAAATTTAAATTTGACCGAAAAAGTTATACAGGGTGAGACAAAATTAATATGGAACATTGGTCACTTTTAAAAGCAAGTTACTCCTTTATTTTAAATGGAACATCCAGTATATTTTTCAGGTGTTCAATGGGGAATTTATATATCTTAGAAATATTATTAAGGTTGCCTACCCCTCAGACAAAAATTTTCCTAGATATTTTAATTTTTATGATTTTAGGTCAGTAGATTTTTATTATTTGAAAAAATCTAGGGGTGTCTGTGTAATATGCCTTTTGTTAATTTAACAAAAATTAAAGATTGTAGAGTAAAATACTCAACGGCAATAAAAAGATACATATTTAAGACATATTTTAATTATTACAGAATTAAAACTAGATATAAACCTATAATAATTATGTGTGATAAAAATTAGCTAGATGAAATCAAATGCTCAAAATGCTTCCTTTCTTGTTAACGGCATAAAATGATTGTCTATTCAAAAGGACCTTTTCATTTTAAAAGGCATATGTGGAGTTCTACCTCGAAAAGCAGCTACAATAATTTCTCTCATGTTGTCGACAATAGTTTGTCGAGTTTTGTAAACACTGTCATATCCCCATAAAAAAGCCCAGACTAGATACAATCAGGAGCATTTAAGTATTCTATTAATTATTGGTGAAAGAATAATTAGAAAATATTAAATATGTCAAAAACCTTACATTTTAGTCATATACTATTCTTATAAAACTCACCTTTATTTTTCTCCTAAAATCCGAAAATCAATTAATATATAGGGTGTTCCATTACAAAAAACACAACTACTTTGATATGTAATTTTTTTTGGGGACACCCTGTAGAACTATCTATATTTTTAAAAAGTGCTCTGAATTAACCTACATATGCTCACAAAATTTCATTTCAATATAAACTCCGCGGCGTATGAGAGGCGCCACCCTGTATAACTGATACAAATATTTGGGATTTCTTTAAAGATAAATTGCATATATATTTTCAACCAAATTTTTAGGTAGTTTATAAAGCAACCCTTGTTCTTGAATTGCACTTGATGGATCGAATAATTTTATTATTATTTAATAGACAAATTCTTATCTATATAGATATTTCTTGAAAAAGTAAATATATTTATTATTTTTCTTTGAAATTTAAATATTAATATCTGGAATGGTGCTTTATAGGGTCAATTAACCCCAAATAGCTCTACTTAGTCCATTTATTCTTTATTTTCACAAAAGAATACAGGTACCTGTACCTACTAAAATACTTAAATTGTAAAATTGTAGAACTATATAATATTTATAAATATTGTCATTAAAACCGACGCGGCGTCTAAAGGGCTAAAATTAATAGTCTAAGAGCTAGCAACGTTTTCGAGAAAGTATTTTAAGAAAGCTGGCTCTTTGATATATCTTTTACTATGCTTTCTGGAACAGCATGCCCATCTGGCTGACGATACCTGTTGCGTTCACTACTGCGCATCGCAAGAAGATATTTTATTTTCGTTTATATTCTGATAGTAAAGTATTAAATATTTGTTTTTTTTTTGAATCACCAGAATTATTTAATACTTTACAGAATATAAACGAAAATAAAATAAAAAAGTTTTTACCCCGACCCGGTCTCGAACTTCTCGACTCCTGACTCCTCGGTTGATAGGCGGAACCTCTAAGTCCTGCGCTGTGAAGGCTCGCTCGGTTTATATTCAATACTAGAATTTAAAGGACTAATAAAAATATAGGTTCTTCCTTCAATGCGCAGTAGGAAATGCAACGTTTACCGGCAGCCAGCCGGGCCGCATGCTGTTCCAGAGAGCATAGTAAACGATATATTAAAGAGTTTTCTTAAAGTACTTTGTTACTTTGTACTTGTACTGGTTTTTCCGACGTTGCTAGCTCTCGTACTATAATAACAGATTTAATAATTCTTTATGGATGTATAATAAAAAGTTTTTCTTTCTTCTTTAATCTTTACGGCGATTCATTTTTTTCTTGAATAATTACTTTTATTTTTTGTTTTACAGCTATTGGATTTGGTATTTAAATTATGGTATTGTTCCTAACTACTTCATGTTCTCTGGTCTATGAGTGCTAGCAATGAATTTAATATACTATTATCATTATCACTGATTGAGGAAATAAGAAGATGCGCAAACTTATGGGCGATTTCGTGGCACAAACCCTGTCCGGGATGTAGCTGGCGTTACCGTCAGCCTGTCCGAGAATTCTGAGATTTAGTTTAGCTCTGCGCCGCCGCGGGCTTATGAGTCGTTTACAACGCAGCGGATAAAGAATACTGTACCGTAGTTCTGCTTTCAGTAAACAGAGTGAGCGGTTGCCGGAGACAGTGTTGCCAGAACTACTGATTCATTCGTAGATTTACGGATTTTGGGTACAGTAGGTTAATAACACGGATTTTCTATCATTAAACAATTTAATATAATATTATATGATTTTACAAAGAAGGCGTCAGAGTTGGCTTTGAAATGAAGATCGCTGTTATTTCATATGTAAAATATTATGGTAAATTTCAATAATCGTCATTTCCAAGCCAACAAAACGACTTTTTTCGATCATACGATATATTCAGTACCTATAAAGAATTTGTATTTTTGTTGTTTATTCTATGTTTAACACGAATGAATTTTTAATACATAAACGAATAAACGTACAGGCTATTATACTTTTTAGCTGACCATACCAATAGGTATGGTAGGCTATTAAGATCGGCAAAAAACAGTTTTTTTAATTTCACTCAAAATGAGTTACTCGGGTCATAAATGAGTTACTTGGGTCATAAATGACCTGAATATTTTCATGGTGTCTGTCTGTCCATCTGTCCGTCTGTAACACGAAAAAAACGTCTGTAAAATTTTAAAAAAATTGTAACTCCAAAATTACATTAGCTAGAGAAACGCGGTTTTCAATTTAAGATTAGGAATAATATTTGGAATAACATCAAAATCAGTCAAAGTCGCAGTTTTTGAGAGAGAAAAAATTGGAAAAATTGCTTTGAAACTAAAAGAACTGCCTACCAACTTTTTATTAACATATTTTAGTATGGGCGGCTATACGTGCCTCCCGGCGCCAATTTTTGTATTTACTAACAAACTCTGGTATTAGCAAAGAAAATTATAGTTAGCGCAGCTATGCTGAGATAAGACCGTTAAACTTTGCTTTACATAAAATTCAGTTTTTTATACATTGAAATTATCTAATACAGGCTGTGAAATATCAACTTCATCAATCATCAAATCAAGTTTTCAAGAGATATGCGTTTAAAGATTACGATACGTCGATTTTAGTAAAAAGTAATTACATTTTTGATAGGTAACTGGTATGATTTTGAATGGAATGTATTAAAACAATTATTACCAAAGTAGTTACAGAGCTGTAAGAAAGTCTCGCAAAGGCTCTGATCGAGAGACTAATGTTCATAGGAACCTTCAGAAAGCCTCTTAGAGCATATATGTTTATAGAATTTTTATAAGATTTTTTATCTATCACAGAAAGAATCTTAATTTATACTGTTTAGTTCTATATTTTTCTAAGGTAACTATATTTTTTTTGAACTCGATGTCTAAATATACAAGCAAAAATCTTTCTGTAATAATAATTATCCACTATTTATTTTCGTCCGATTTTTATCACTTACCGACCAATGGCATTGCTGATAGCTTGCCCTTGTCCACCGATGTCAATCTGAAGTCGCATTGTGCCGATGGTAAGACAAAAGAAAGCGTTGTCGAGCTTATCGCACAAGTCGCATAGATAAGACCGCTGATGGCCAGAAGAATTTTCTGGAACTTTCCGAACCCTATAATTAGAAAGAAGAAGAAGAAGTATTAGTCGGTGGAATTAAATTTAAAAATATTAAAAAATGGTCGTTTATACAGGGTGGTCCAAACTGTATTCCGGAAACTTCGGCAGCATATTTTGCGGATAAAAATAAGTAAAAAAGTTCGTATAAATGTATGTCCTAAAATGCTTAGTTTCGGAGATACAGGGTGTTGAAGTTTCATTTTTAATTCGATTTTTGCCAAATAATTTCTGAAATAACGTCCATATTTGGATGAAAATTGTGTCTGGGAGTTTTCTAACATGAGAAATTTGATTTTGATGTCAATATGACTCTTACTTGTAGAGGGCGCCACCTACATATTTTTAACTGGTTTGTAGAGTAATAAGTTTTTGTCCGTACCTGTATAAAACTACTGAGTAATAAAATATACATTTAGGATGTTTTTTACGTAAAAAAAGTCTCTCGATAAAAATCGCTACTAGTAATAGTTCTCGAGATATTTGGAATCGAAATTATCAATACCTGTCATCATTGACATAAATTAAACATGTTGACTAAATACTTATTAGACTGAAATCGTAAATTAGAAATGTTTTTGTGCCAAAAGTTGAACAGATACTGTTTTATCATAATTTTTTCGTTATTAATTTAAAAAAAAATAAAAAATTTCCAAATTTATAATTTTAGTCAAATAACTATCTACTCAACATGTTTATTTTTTGTCATAATGAGATGTATTGAATTGACTGTTCCTATTCTAAATATCTTGAGAACGGTTGCTCGTACCGATATTTTTTTCACTCAGTGATTTTATACAGGTACGGACGAAAAGTTATTACTCTTCAAAAGAGTTAAAATGTATGTAGGTGGCGCCCTCTTCAAGCAGGAGTCATATTGACACAAAAATCAAATTTCTCACGTCAAAAAACTTCCAGACAACAATTTTCATCCAAATATTTATGATACTTTAGAAATTATTTGGAAAAAATCAAAATAAAAATGAAACTTTTACACCCTGTATCTCCGAAACTAAGCATTTTAGGACATATATATATATATATACGAACATTTTTACATATTTTTATCTGCAGAATATGCTGTCGAAGTTTCCGGAATACAGTTCGGACCACCCTGTATAAGGGTAATAACATTTTTTTCTTAACACGTTAAGCGACACCATGTTAAAAAATCAGGCCTTTGGACCAGTGGGTAAAATTTATAAAAATGTATCAAATATGCTATTTCTAACTGACACGAGAATTTTACACGCATTTGCGTTTTGCAAATTGGCTAGTGTTTTGGTAGCATCTTTTTGAATGTTAGAGTGGCATAAAATCATAAAATTCTTCACCCAATTTACTGAAAAAATAATTATAATGGTACATAATTAATTACTTCTGCTATTCTTATTTTATTATTTTGCCAATTTTTGTCTATCCTGCTTAGATCTACACTGCATACAGTGTCGATATCGATATTTTCTCGTCTGGACAGATAACAATAATACCTACATTAATGTCATTCGTTGATAACATACATAATACCCTTTAAAATAATATTCAGATCAAGGTAATGGAAATTTATTAGGCCTGAAAAGTAGGGAAACTTTAAAATATTAATCAATACTTATATCTACGTTAAATAAATATTGTTTTATATTATAGATTTATACACTACATAAGTTTTTTTTTTTATAAAAATATTAAAAAATAATATAATACTTACTCGCAAAATTGATGGCCGTTTCAAAATCTCCATGACCGGCATCGTCTGTTTCTGGATCTAAGACAAAACAAAAATATATTCTTTATTATTTTTTTGTGTTCAAAATATAACTATAAAATGAAATTTTTGGTTTTGACTGAGTCAGTAAAATATCCATTAATATAACATAGTGCGGGCGCTAGCCCATGTCTCGTTTGCAGTTATATGTCCCCTAAGTTTTTGTGCGGCGTTTTATTAAATATGTATAAGAGCTTAAAAACCAACTGGTCACATGATCCAGATCGTGGTCGTTTAGTTACCATATTTAAAAATGGCCGACATGTTACTAATTTCTTATATATTTTAATATCTTCCTAACAAATGGTCGGGATTTTAGTTTTAAAGGTTATTATACTCATTTTTTGACCGCAAACAAATTTTGTGAATGCATATTTTTTAACTGTAGTTCTTTTGAGGAAAGTATAATTTAAAAATATGGAACCATGGCGCGTTTTTAAGCACTAATAAAAATTCGTTTTAAAATAATAAAAGTATATTTAAATGCATAAGACGTATTCGCAAAAAACGCGCAACAAGTATAATTTTTCAAATGCAAAAAATTAAGATGTTTAAGCAGAAAACTTACTAACTTATGTTTGAGGGTCCTGCATTGATCTAAAACACTACTTTTACAAAAGTCGCAACATATTATTTTTAATTTTCTACAGGGACATAGAGTTTCTCTAAAGCACATCTAGCAACTACATGGGCTAGGAAAGTCTTCAGGGTCCTTTGGGTCGTCTGTTAATTGTGGAATCAAAATACCATCTTTTTCTATGTAATCATATTTGTAGCATTGCAAGTAGCTCCGTTTTGTGTGAAGACGGATTGATCTTGAAGTAGGGGCCAAATCGTGAAAGTTTTGTAATTTTTTATGATGGAACTGATGGAAACGCAACTTATCTATTGTACTCAAGTTTGATGAAAGTGCACGAACCAAAAATTCTTCTGCTTGTTTTTCCATTTCTTCATTTAATGGCTCTTTACCAAATTCTAACAAGAGCTTTTCAGGATACGATTTTGCTACTTTCAGAGCTGCTAATTTTGTACTAATCTTGCTTGTAGTATCGCAACCGGTTAAAGAATGAATAGCCAGGTAAAGCTGTTAAAACGTTAAGTGGTAATCTGCCATCAAACGAGTTGAAGAGGAATATACCGCTCAAACATAAAGCTCTTTAAGTCCTGCACTTTTCAACTTCTGCAAGTAGTGGTAAAGTGCACTAACAAAAACATCAGTATCGGTAGAACAAATAACTACGTTCTTTACGTTTGTAGTCAGTGTCATGTGAGAAATATGGGTTAGCATTCTGTCATCCGCTTCTTCATAATCAGATTTCAACGTACGTTCTTCTTCAATTCGGCCATTCTTTATACTGAAACACCTTGGCTGATCATCTTTATCAACGCCACCCAGGTAAATGGGAATAGATGCAGTGACAGAATCTTTTTTCCGGGATACCCAGTCAACAAAGTTTGACAGCAATAATTCTTTGTTTTGACAGGAGGCCCAGTAAGCGTCAAAATCCACAGGAAGGAGTGTGTTGTAATCACCTGAAATTATTCACAAGAATGTGTAATTTCAATAAAATTTAAGAAAATATTCCCAAATTCCTCCGCTAAGTGGAAATGTTAAAAATATCCCAATAACTAATAAATTTGTCGGTAAATTAATTACAATTTGTTTCTTCATAAGAGGAGTGAGTTGATCTTTAAAAATGCAAAATCGGAGCACTTTTTACGGAAATTTAGTAAAAAAAAAATTTTAGAAATTGGCAGCCATTTTTAAATATAGCGACCAAATGACCATGTTCTGGACCATGTGACCAATTTTGTCAATTACTCCTAGAGGTGCTTAACATATCCCCGCAACAAAATTTAGGGGACATACAACGGCACACGTGACATAGGCTAGCTCCTATACTAACAAGGAATTCCATGATAGTATATAAATTAAGTAGAATATCAATATAAAAATATTCGCAAAAGAATAATATTTTCATTTCAAAATTAAAGAAAAATAATTACATTTAAGATACAATTTATTGTTTTTACTGTTATAACTTTATGTTATTGACTTTACGCCTAAAGAAAATTACATATTAGCATTGATATCAATCATTTTACCAAACAAATATAATTTTGTTTGCTAAATTTGGAGTCATAAGTATACACTAAATTTATATTATTCAATAGTAATATCAGGGAGAATATCATGCAGTAATCTCAAATTTCATTTTATTAAATTCAAAAATGTTTGTTTCTCACATAAAACCACATAATATTCATAATAAAAAATGCATATCAGTAAATTGTATAAAGGCAAAAAAAAATATATAGTAATTATACAGAGTGAGTCTTAAATAACTTCAAATATTTTCAGGGCTGGTAGATCTCGATAAAAGAAACATATATACCTATTTTCTCTTTACCGTTTTTTAAATAAGTCCAAAAAACAACCGAGTTATTTTACTTTAAAAATTTCGAAAAATAAATATTTTTTGCTAAAATTTTGAGAATCAGTGTATCTTTTCTGGGTTTTCTTTCTTGTAAATTTAATCTATTATCTATGTTGCCATATTATTAATAAATTATGTCTTTAAACCAAAACCTAAAAAAATCAAAAACTTTTTCAAAAAATTCCAAATTTTCAATTTTTTTTCGGGAAAAATTCGTGTTTCTGGGGTGGAAATATACTACCCCTAAATATATTTGCACTTATTTAAGACACACCCTGTATAGTGTGTTCATGGGATTTGAAGATATTATATGGGAAAAATGTTATTCTACTTGTTATTATTTATTTTCTGAACAAAAAAAAAATTACTATACTTTGGGAAACTGGATCACTTTACTATTAAGCAATTTTTATACAGGGTGAGTCTCAAATAAATGTACATATTTTCAGAGCTTGTAGATCAGGATAAAAAAATCATATTTACTCTTTGCTGTTTTTGATATACCGGGTCCGTCTCAAAAGCGGCTCACCCCTATAACTTTTTTATTTTTTTAGATAAAAAACGAGATTTGGTATGTTAGTATATGACTTAAATTAGGATTGATTCACCTATTCAATTCTTTTCGGCCACTTCCTGTTACAACGGAAATGACTACAACATGTGAATTTTAGCACCCTTGATATTTTTTTACTTTATTCGATAGCAAATTCTGAATTCTAAATAGAATGAGATATCATATGTCAACTGGTGCCATGGCTGTGTTAAAACCAATAAATTTTAATCAAGGAGCCTTGGAAAAATAGATTTGATCGTCTAATGTTTTTAGTGTCTTTTCCTGGCCGGTTAAAAGATGCCCAAATTGTATTTTTAATCATATCTCAATTTTTTCAAATGGATCGAAAGTTGCTCATTAGCATATTTGGAAAAAGTATTTTTTTACGAATAATTTGGTACCACAAACTTGGTATTTCGAGTCAAATTGTCGTTATGAATCTCATGTTGAAATTTCAAATAAACCATATTCGTGTCATTTAAAAATCAAAAGTTGTAGTCATTCCTGGTGAAACAGCAAGTGACCGAAAACAATTGAATACGCCAATTAATCGTAATTTATGTCATACATTAACACACCAAATCTCTAATTTTTATCTGAAAAAATAAAAAAGTTATAGGGGGTGAGTCACTTTTGAGACGCATCCGGTATATACAAAATAAAATGTTTTTTTCCTTAAATTTTGAAAACCACTGGATTCGGTGTTTTCCTCGAAATTTAATCTCACTGCACTTTTATCATACTGCTAGCTATGTCGCCATATTTTCAAGATGTTATTTAAATGAAAATTAAAAATAAACCAAAAATGTCTTTTTAAAAATACAAAATTCTCAAAATTTATTTTTACTAAAAAAACATAAAGGTGTTCTTGGAATAGAAATATGTGAATCCATCCCTAAATTATGTGTACTTATTTCAGACTCACCCTGTATAGATTTATTAAATAAATGCTTTTAGGAAGCTGTAGTTTAAAAGTATTTTTCCATAGGTGTCGAAATGTCATGTACAGATTACCTTATATTTATGTTTATTTTTAATACTTATCTTATACTCATTTAATATTAAAAATATTTTGTTACCCTTGACCAATTTTCTAGAAAGAAAACACTATTATTGCGTGGACTTACCTCTTTCAATCTCAATGTCAACAAACACACCACTGGCACTGTTAAACATCTTGTTTTCTTGACCACTACTAGACACTAACTGGACGATACCGATGTACTGTTGTTGATGGTTCCTCGTGCATCTTTAGGGCTATTTCCACTATCTTTATCGCCTTTACGTTTATTTATGACGGACAAATAAATGTTTTTGCTCGTCAGTCTCGATGTTTGTTCGTTACATGCATTTTGTCATGAAGACAAAATAATTAAAAAATCTTACGAAATTGACAACTTTGATTTGTTTATTTTATTACTATTAATTAGGACAATAATAATTGGATGATGACTGACTTTATTTTTTCTCTAATAACTAAATATTAGCGGGTGGTTATACATACATATATACACTGTGTCCCAAATTTACCTATATATTTTTAAATCTAAATAACTTCAAATATTTTATTATCAGTCCCTTTTTATATTATTAAAATACTTATTAGTAATCGTTATTATATTAATTAAATGTAGTAATCACTAGAATATAATAATAATAATAATAGTTCCCGTACATATAGCGTTTAACGCCTTGGGAGTAGCAAGGTACAGCTTGCCATGCTAGAGCCGTTCGGTATACAAGGAAGGTAATGTGGCTAGCACTACGCTTCAACCGCCTATTATTACCTCAGGATTGTGAATCCCAAGTACTCATTTAAGGCTGTTTTTATTTTAATAAAAATAGTCGGCTGATGAAATGCCGGGTGTAGGATTCGAACCCACCGGGCACCGTGGCACTAGAATATTAAACTTTGTATATATTTTTAGCTTATGACTACTACTTCAAAATTTGTATACATTTAGATGACCTACCGAACCACATATTTGTTTTATTATTTTAAAAAATGAGGTAGGCTATACCCGTATAGGTATAGCAATAGCACTAAATTTCAAAAAATGTTGTCTCTCAATATAAAGAATTATTTTTCAATAGCTGGATAATTATGGAAAATTTATTTAGATAACGTCTGTATAAAATTAAGTAGATACTTCTGTATGTACAAGGATAGTTCTTTGTGATATCAGTAGGTACATAGAAAATTTAAAAAAATCATAGGTGCACATGATTTTAGTTTTATCGATGTTCAGTTTAAGGCTCAAAGTCTTGTATGCCCAGGTATATGTGTTTAACATTTCCTGTAATTGCTGTAATGTATTTGCAACTAGAGCGCAGTCATCAGCGTATTGAAGTTCTGTGATGAATTTTATACGTGTTTTTGCCCTGAGTCTTTTTATGTTGAACAGACCGCCGTCATACCTGTATCTAACACCCATTCCTCTTTCCTGCAGTTTGCTGTCCACTATAATAGAGAGCGCTGCCATGAATATGTTAAAAAGGAGAGGAGCTAGGACACATCCCTGCCTAATTCCTGTATTTGTCATGAAGGGATCGCTCAGTGATCCATGATGTGACACTCTCGACTTGTTGTTGTTATGGAGGCTTTTACACACAGTAAAAAATTTGTTGGGCACTCCAAACTTTTGCATAATTGCCCAAAGTGCATCTCTGTTTACAGGGTCGAAGGGTTTCGTTTGTTAGGTCGATGAATGCAACATAAAGTTTACTCTGCTGTTCCTTTACTTTAGTAAACTTAAGTAAAGGAACAGCAGATTCGTGAGCAAGGTTTCAAGTAAAGTAATAAAAATCAGTTTGAGTATTCTTCAAGAGTATGATTTAGGCATGAGGATGATACATTTGCCGTTTTTGAGACACCTTTTGCACAATATTTGCACAACAACTTTATTGCACAACAACTTTATTTCAAAATTAAATAATCGTTTTCTTTTTACTAAATTTACCTATGAAATTGAGAACAACTATAGATTACTATTTTTAGATGTTTTAGTTATTAGAAATACTAATAATTGCCTGGAATTTGACATCCATAGAAAAAAAATTGGCGCCGGGAGGTACGTATAGCCGCCTATACTAAAATATGTTAATAAAAAGTTGGTAGTCAGTTAAAGTAAAGGAATTTTTCCAATTTTTTTTATCTCAAAAACTGCGACTTTGACTGAGTTTGATGTTATTACGAATTTTGTTGCAAATATTATTCCTAATCTTAAATTGAAAACCGCGTTTTGCTAGCTACTGTAATTTTGGAGTTACGATTTGTTAAAATTTTTAACCCCCTCCCATACCCCCTTACCAACCCTCCACCCCACCAATTTAATAACGAATAATATAATAATTGTTCGACAATTTAATAATTAATTTGTATTAATAATGAACATTTATCTAAATTGGTACGGGCATTTAAAATCATTTTTTTTAAATTACATTACACTTTAATTTTAGCAAATGTAAATCGAAATATAGATTTTACTCCGTTCTAGACTATTTGATTAATTCTTAAAAGATTATCTATCACAACAAATTAAATTTACATCATAATAATTGACATTATTGTTTATAAATACATGGCTATATTTAGGATTTTTATGTTTACTAAAATTATCAATTATTAGTATATATTTGATGGAGACTAGATTCTTTATTGCGTATGTAAATTATATACCGGCTGGATTTGAAATAAATTATCAGTAATTGAAAATTTATGTAGATTTATTTGTATTATGGTGGACACAGAGACTAGGCACAAGACACTGGTATTAGATGTTATCAACAGAATCAGTTCCCTCAAGTGGCAATGGGTAGGACACCTGGTAAGAAGAACGGACAACAGATGGACCTCAAAAATTACTGCATAGTACCCACGAGGAATTGAGAGACCTAGAAGAAGACCAAACCTGAGATGGAATCATGATATTCGGAAATTAGCAGGGATAACTTGCGCCTGCATAGCCAACAATCGACAACAATGGGCCCAATTGAAAAGAAAATATGTAAATATGTGAGGGAGGCTATACCTTAGTTGAAAGTGGTTTAATAAGCTGAAAATGATAATGATGATGACAATGATTTATATTATGGAACGATGACAGATAAAATCAATTAAATGCATCATACTTTAAGAAGTACTGAAATATAACAGGTGGTTGATTCAATAATATGTTGACGCTCTTCAATAAGGAAGCAAAAATTACATCTTCGACAATCTCCGTCGATCTCCGAATTACATCTTCGCCTTCATTGTTTACGCGGAATCCAAAACGCGGTCCTCAGCCATATCATGGTCAATTGGTTACCGACTTGGCTAGTGTCTAAATAATAATTATTATCATCATCATCATCATCATCATTTAGCTTATACCGTCCACTGCTGAACAAAAGCCTCCTTTAACTCTAGCCATCGCTTTCTATTTTGTGCCACTTGAATTCAGTTTCCAGTCACCCTCATAATATCATCTGTCCATCGACTAGGAGGTCGTCCTCTGCTTCAAAAGGCCTCGTGTCTCGGTCTCTATTCCAAGTCTCTTCGTCCACCGTCCATCTGTCATCCTAGCCACATGTCCTGCCCAATTCCATTTAAGATTCAAGATAGATATCACCGCATCTCTTACTCCTGATTGATTACGTATTGTTTGATTGGGTATTTTATCTCTGAGTGTAACTCCTAACATGGACTTTCCATTCTCCGTTGCATGCCCTGTATTCTATGTATGTTCTTCTTTGTCAAAGTAAGCGTTTCAGCTCCATACGTGAGGACAGGTTAGGTTGTAAAAACTGTATGTTAAAAAAAGGTATGTTATTTATGTTTAAATTTCCACTCAGTACTAGGTTTGTCATGTATTGTGTCTTTGACAAGTTAATTTTCAAACTGACCCTTTCCGAAGCATCATTCAGTATATCCAGCATAATCAAAATGTGCCTCCTGTGCCTTCTGTATGTTGTCTGTTATTAAAATAATGTCATCTGCGAAACAGAGATGATTTATCAATTTGCCATCGATATTAATTCGTGTTGAATCCCCAGTTTATCATTTTTAACATACTTTCTAGCACAGCAACGAATAGTTTAGGGGACAGTGTGTCGCCTTGTCCTACCCCTCGATCGATATTGAATTTGTCTGTGCATTGATTTGTCGATATTCTGACGTTTGCCGTGGCATTATCATATATATGTCTTATGATTGAGTAGTATCGATGATCGATGCGACTCTCACTTAGTGTCTCTAGAAGCTTCCACTGGTCTACCGAATCGAAGGCCTTCTCAAAATCCACGAAGACAAGCATTAGTGGTCTATTATACTCAATGCATTTCTTGATACGGACCTTGACTGTCAGAAGATGGTCATTTGTTCCGTAACCTGATCGGAAACGTGCTTGTTCGCTCGAAAGTAAAAAGTCTATTTTATTTGTCAAACGCTTGGTGAGTATTTTAGTAAATAATTTATATACGTGGCTAAGAAGGCTGATCGGCCTATAGTTTTTAAGGTCTGTAACGTCACCTTTCTTGTGTACAATAATGATTGTTGCGTTGTTCCACTGTAATGGGGTTATTTCTTCTTCAATGCGTTTATTAAATAGGACATTTAAAGCTTTGATGATTTCTGGTCCTCCCTCTTTGATTGACTCTATTGCCAGTCCATCGTCGCCGGCAGCTCTATTGTTTTTCATATCTATAAGGGCACTGATAATTTCTTCCTCGGTTATTTAAAATACTACTACGATAGACGAAATATACGAAAGCATCAAAGGTGCCACTCAAACGGCTATCGAAAAATTCTGTCCCAAAAAAGTAAAAGAACAAAAACTGAATCAAAGAGTAAAACTTTTAATGAAACAGAGAAGAGATATGGAGGACAAGAGTACATAAGAATATAGAACTCTAAACAGAGAAATATCCAAAGAAATCAGAAGGCATAGGAGACAACAAAATACGGAAAAAATTAGGAACGTCATAGAGAAAAATCAAAGTTTGAAGGTATTGACAAATAGTACCAATAGGAAGAAAAGAAATACAAAACATCAAGGATATGTACGGCAACACAGTAACACACAAACAGGAAATCCTAAACTCTATTAAACTTTTCTATCAAGAACTTTACACATCAAAACAGCAGGGGATCAAAACCGACATCCGAAAGGTAATAAATCAGGGGTCGGAAGAAATTCCAGAAATAGCCGAGGATAATTATAATAATAACTATTAAATAAGTGAGTCTCAGTGAGCTCAGTGAGTCGTCACGTTGTGTGTAAAACCAGGATACAACTGT